TGCGGTTATCTCTCTTGCTTGTACACTTTTTTCGACCACATCTTTTCCTTCCCTTCGCCTCTCTATTAATGTGCTTGGACACTGAGCTCTGTGAACAGCCAGCCTCTTTAGCGATGACCTTTTGTGTCTTGCCCTCCTTGTGCAAGGTGTCGATGGTCGTCTTTTGGACAACTGTCAAGTCCGCAGTCTTCCCCATGATTGTGTAGCCTATAGAACTAGACTGAAAGACCATTTAAAGGCTTTTGCAGGTGGTTTGAGTTAATTAGCCGATTAGAGTGTGGCACCAGGGGCCATCAATTTTGAACCTTTTCACAATATTCTAATTTTCTGATATGATGAATTTGAGATTTTCATTTGTTGTCATTTGTAATCATCAAAATTAAACAAAATAAACATCTGAAATATATGAGTTTGTATGTAATGTATGAATATAATATACAAGTTTCACTTTTTAAATGGAATTACTGAAATCAATCTACTTTTTCATGATATTCTAATTTTATGACCAGCACCTGTATATTAGACATATTTTAATGTATTATTTTGTGTTGCTACTGAATAACATCCCAGCTAAACACATTGAAGTGATACTGACTACGTGTGATCAAATGATGGAGTTATTTTAGCAACTGTTAAACAGAAGTGTTTTAATATGTGGAGGAAAAGTCAGTTTTAGCTAAAAACATTAAATAGGCTAATCAGGGACTGAGGCTTTGCTAGCTACAGACAGAGCAGCAGAACTACCGGCAGGGCTTTAAAAAGTGTAAAATCTAATCAAACTTACGAATCCCTTGTCTTTATCCCGTCTGAAGTTGAATTTAATCATGATGAAAACACTTTTACCTCAATATCTTGAGCTCAAAGCTTTTCTTTACAGCGACTTTACAGACCGATCGCTAAACTGCTTTAAAACACCGAAGACTTTGCCTAGAATGTAAATAAAATAAGTCTTCTGCTCTTTAAAAACTACAAAAACAAAAATCTAACTTAAATTTACAGAGTAACTGATTTAACACCGGTCGTATCCAGACGCTTATGAAGGAAGCCACGTATCTATAAAATAAGCGCTGATTGGTTTCGCTGCTTGAATTTAGCCAATCAGAGAAAGTTTTACATTGCCTAGCAACGACGGTCCTGTTGGTCACCAGCCCATCCAGCAGGGGGCGTCTGCGTTCCGTTTAATAGAAGTGGGTACGCCTCGATCCCAGTAGTCTGCAAGGAGAAGAAAGAAAGAAAGAAAGAAAGAAAGAAAGAAAGAAAGAAAGAAAGAAAGAAAGAAAGAAAGAAAGAAAGAAAGAAAGAAAGAAAGAAAGAAAGAAAGAAAGAAAGAAAGAAAGAAAGAAAGAAAGAAAGAAAGAAAGAAAGAAAGAAAGAAAGAAAGAAAGAAAGAAAGAAAGAAAGAAAGAAAGAGAAAATTCTCCACTGTAAATCACCGGCATTTTTTGTCAATAGAGACAATAGTGGCTTATATAATAACCCCAAAAAGGTTTAAAATTAGCATCAACCTTAAAATAATCACTCCAAAAAGTTTTTTTATTTTTTTTATTATCTTTTAACATCACCTTGTTTAAAGCCTTAACATAAATATATTCTTACCATTGACAGAATCCAGTGGCGTCCATCAACGTTTTTCTTTTACTAAAAAAGGGCATTAAAGGTCCTCCAGTTGTGCCTTAATGCACAATTTAAATAAAACATATTTTTTATCAGGTGTTAGAAATATATTGATCATCCATGTATTAGTTGTAGTTCTTGCCCAGCAGACGCCATCTTCCATTTCAGCAAATGTCTTATAGTAGTACCACCCTTTTTCATCAACAGTTCTGAAATCATGGCCATATTTTCCCAGGGCGACACTTAAACGAGATCCCTTGAGGATATGTTCTGGTAATAACCAGTGCAAAGAAGGTGATGTTCCAACTCTTTGTTTCCATTAGCCTCCAGATTTTTAAAGTGCTAACATAAAAAGGTCACAAACACTTTACTCGATTTCTTGGATGATAAAAAAAAATTACTGACCTTTTGAGGAAAAAAAAAGTCCTCAAAGAAATCTGTAAAAACTGTGGCCTTAATGCTGCTTTTCTACTTTATAAATGTCGCAGACATTGCCCTCCTTCTTCTGCTGACAAAAACAAAATAGTAGGGACCCAATTCAACCTAATTCAGTTAATTTATATAGCACTGATTCACAACACATGTCATCTGAAGCAGGGGTGGATTTAGGAGATCCGGGGCCCTAGGCAAAGACAGGCAGGGGGCCCTCTGAATTGAGAAAACCACATAAAACAGACCAATTATACAGGTACAGACATTTTAATAGAATAGACATACATTATTTGTTCTATGTTTTGTCCCTCTCTTCTTTTCCCTTTTCTTGTTGTTTTTCTCTCTATGTTTTGTACTCAGCTGAGTTTTCATGCTGTCTCAAAAGGAATGAAAGATTTTTTCCAGTCTGTTCTCCATTTTTCATTTGTATGAAATAAAAACGGCATGAATCATGACAGCAGACAACAGAGAGGAGAGCAGGAGGCGGGGCAACACATCTACTTGCTCTGGAGAACAGTGCTTTTATATGTCGTCACCGAAGTCTCCACTTGCAGAGAAAAGTCACTAGATTTAGCACTAGGCGCTTTTTTTTTAAATCAAAGTGCTAGAGGGGTCTGAAAAGTTGCTAAATATAGTGACAAACGTGCTAAGTTGGATACAGAGCTCTTTGCACCGTATATTTTAAAATGGTTTGCTGCTGTCTGTTTGGATCTTTCTTAACATGTTCAGCAATTTTTTTAAATCAAAATCATAACTAATGTGCACAAATAAGGAATAGTTGTATTAACCATACTTGTAAACAGAGTTTTATGGGCCCCCCAGGAACTTGGGGCCCTAGGCAACTGCCTAGTATTGCCTAATGGTAAATCCCCCCCTGATCTGAAGGCACTTTACAGAGACAATTCAGCCAATCATACATCCATCCACCCATCCTGTTACGCTTATCCCTGCTGGGATCGTGAAGATGCTGGTGTCTATCTCCAGCTGTTTATGGGCGAAAGGCGGGGTCCACCATGTACAGGTCACCAGTCCATCACAAGGTCAAGATCATCCAGTCAAATTGATTCAAAGTTTTCTATCTAAGGAAAACCAGCTGATTGAATCGACTCATTGACTCTTCAGCAATCCCTCACACTAAGCATGCTTGTAGCGACAGTGGAGAGGAAAAACTCCCTTTTAACAGGAAGAAACCTCCAGCAGAACCAGGCTCAGTGTGAGCGGCCATCTGCCAAGGCTTACTTGGGTTCAGTATAATCTGTCCCAAAAATCGAAGTCCGTAATTTCAATAAGTTCCAAAACAGCTAAACAATGCCATAAGGATGTAGAGAAAAGATTAGTAATAAGTGTGCAACCTCTATAAGAAATTGGTGGTAAAAGCCAGTGTCATTTCTTAAACCTACCCATCATTTCAACAAAACCTGACGACTTTTTCATAACCTCCATGTAATCTCCCAAGTAAACACCTGAATATATAAAAACATTTTTTACCCACTTTAATTCACCAGGTCGGTAGCAAAGCTTTACTCTTACTCCAATTTAATTAGGATGAAGAAATTCTACCAAAACTGCAGAATCTAATATTATAATATTATAATCTACTAGATTAATTGAAGTCACTACTTCACCATGTTGGTTAAAAACGGCCTGCCACCCACCCATCCTGTATGAGCGTGGTTAAAGGGTTGATTTAAATATTTCATTATGAAAAGCTGCTTTTCAGGCATTGTTTCAGCGCTATGACCAAATGTTGCCATCAGCTATTTAATCCTCACATTTTGATTTAAGTTGAAGAGAATTACTTTTTTTTCTCCAGACAAACAGATTTATTCAATAATTTTTTTAAATTATTTGTATTTAATTCAATATTAGATCATTTTAATCAGACAATAAAAAAAGAAATAAGCCAAACGGAAATGAATCATTAAGACCATAAAAAGTTCAGATGAGTGAACTGCAGTCCGGTTAGTTTCAGTCTGTGTGATGATGGATTAGGATGTCATGCGGTACCAGCCTGACCTGCAAACCGCTGCGTGGGTGGCTGCGTCGGTCCGACTTCATTCCAGACATTTCCCACCTGCTCCGCATTGTTGACTCCGGATACAAAAAGCCTCGACAAATACTTCAGAAAATTCATCTCGGCCCCTTTGTTTGTTCTATTTTATTTGAGCTTACACATATGACAAAGACTTCACAATGAGAAACTATGCAGCACAAAGTGCAGAACATGAAGCAAGCAGAGCAGAAAGCATTACAAGACGATGAGACGTCTGCGTTCGCAGAAAGGCACTATGCATCACCAGGCACTGCGGTGTTAGCGAAAAGCTAATATATCCCTCTAATACATGGAGCAGTTGCTGCACAGTCCTCTGCAATAACATGACATTTTACTTCATGTTTAGTATAACAGGCACTTAAAAACAGTGTTAGGTAAACAGAGACAGTACCGAATATTACATATCAGTTTAAAAACATTTACATTTTTTACAGAGAAAGGTAGAAACACAAATTTACCAAAGCTAATAAAATACATTCCTCAAAGAGACAGAGATCCACCAACGACAATTTAGAACTAAACTTAAAAAAGGTAAATATATCTTTTTGTGCTTTTTTTTAAACAACATAAATAATTTGATTATCAAATGAATATAAGAATCTACTTTGTAGATAAAGAGATAGTCCGACACTGCAGAGTGTCAGTAAAACGTGAGTTCTAGCTAACATTAAGGCATGTGTGGAAAGATGGGGAAAAGCTTTGATCTGGGCCAGCCTCGGCCGGCTGTGTGTGCATCGTGAACATCAGTGGTACCGCATTCTTCCCTTCTCTTAAAACAGACAGATTCACATTGATAAAGACGCAGAGCCCAGGTGGGTAACGTCAAACCCACCCGGAAATGACTCCTCCTGGAACAACGGAGGCGTGGAGCCTTCTGGGGCCCCCCCGAGCACCACCAGTAAAATAGGAAACAAAACAAAACGTGTGTATTTCTATTTACACCGTGTTCCTGACATGGCACGGAGCTCCAACACCAACTTCAGAGGCTGTCTCTCAAATACAAAAGGACAGTAACACAAACCAAGGTGTGATTTAGCAGCTTATTGGGTATTGCATTCTAAAAAAAAATCTTCCTCGACATCAGAGAAGTTTCACAGCACTTTTTGTTTTCCCTCTGTGATCATTTTGTTTAATATTTTTGTAACGAGGTCCTTCATGTCTGCAGTGATGATGCGGATCTCTTCGTCCACAATAAAACCACCGCCTTGCAAAGCGACAGGCACTGCTGCGCTCAAACTTTTTATAGTAGTAACCGTTCATAGTCGTACTGTGCTGCAAACATTCTGGTGTTATGCATAATGATCCATTATTAGTTTGATGTATTTTGGCACAGTTGTTTTTAATGCGTGGCGATGCTGGTGCAAAAAACCAAAAGCAACAGAGTTGTATCAAAACACAACCAGTAGGTGACCAGCGCAGCGCTGCGTGTCGCTGAAGGCCGAGCTCAGTGGAAGGAGGTGTCGTTGTAGGAGCTGGAGCTGGGGAAGGTGGGGATGGGTTTGTTCCAGGGCAGAGTGCCCGTCTGGTCGGATGTAGGAAGGCTCAAGGTGCTGGCGCTCTTCGTCTTGTTCTTCAGACCCCAGCTGAGGAATGAGGACTTCTTGGCCACCTTGCGGGATTTGGAAGCCTTGTCATCGTCGTTATACGCCAGGCAGATCATGGAGTAGGTCTTGGGCAGGTTTCCACTGAAGGTGGCGCTCTTGGTTGGCTGGGTAGACACATTTAAAAATATATTAGTTTTATTTTGATGCTTGTAATCCATTTTTAATGTAACTAATTATGTCAAATCTAAGGCTTTTAGAATAAAAACAAACTTGTGTCCCATACTGTAAAATAAAGAGGTCTCTCCTAAAGATTAGGGGAGACCAAACGTGGATCATCTGCAGGGTTCCTACAGCATAAGGCAAGTTAAATTCAAGACTTTTTAAGACTTTTTAAAGCCACTTGAAATAAAAATTTAAGACCAAATTCACAAGAAACAAGAAAAACCTGCTTGCGACAACTTAACCCAAAGGTTTATTTTAACATAAACCACTGCACTAATGTTTCAAATTTTGAAAAGCTTCCCATACAGGAAGAAAGCTAAAAACACACAAATGACAGATATATTTTAACAATTATTTAACTGAATTCACAAACTTTGTTTTAGCAGGGAACAAAACAAATCAGTTTTAAAGCCCCAACATAACCAGTGCTAAGTCTTTTTTGCAGCTATTTTTCTTTGTATGGTTTTCTTAGTATGTTTGATTTGGTGATAAGTGGAGGCGTTGCAGAGACAAGGGTGGAACTAAACTGAGAAATACCGGCTGTTTCTCTGTAACTCCATTTTGACGCTTTGTGTTTCGTGCTTCGCATGTGCGACTCCACTGCCTTAATTCCCATCGTTCTGAGCTTGAATGACTTCTTGCACTAAATCCACTGAGCCTCATGTATGTTCCCTGGTTTTAGCCATGGAGAAAACTCTTGGCTGGAGACAATTTTCGTTACATTTACACTTGCTCATATTTTCCAGACAAAAAGTTAATGGTGCATCTCCCAAATGTCCCGGCCGCAACAACGCTTTATTGGTTCCGCTATCGGGACGGAACCAATAATGGCGAGCCGTTATTTTTTTTAAATAAAAAAATAAAAAAAATTGTCAATTTTAACATTTTATTTAGATTACAAAAATAAATCGTAATAAAAATAATCCTATTTATGATGTTTTAAAAATGAAGACCTACGAAAGACTGATTTAAGACATTTTAATACCAATAAAGGCCCCGTCCACACAAAGTCAAAACGAACACGAAACGCTAATATTTTCCAGAACGTTTGTCGTAAAGACGGAGACGTAAAATAAATGTGAGCGTCCACACGAATGCATGAAAACGCTGCAAAATGTATGCAAGGCCTGTAAGTGGCGCTGTGGTGCCAAAGCAAAAATAGGCGACGAAATGTTGGGCATGCGCACTAATATTTATACATGGTTGCCCTGCGGGTCCATTTTCGTGGTTCAGTCAAATTCAGGCGCTGAACTATGTCGTCGATATTGCTCTGTTCTTCCTGGAGATATTCCAGAAGAAGAAGATTCTGTTGTAAGCCAGACAGCAGGGTGAGTAGCATGAGCAGCAACCATTCAACACAGTACGGCGCCATTGTTGTTGTGATACTGTGTCGCGCATGCGTGTTTAGAGGCGACGCTATGACGCATGCGTGTAAAAAAAAAAATGCGGTTAGAGCTTAAAGATGGAAACGCGAAAACGGCGTTTCAAAATCTTCCCACTCTGAAGGCTTAATTAAAAAAAGATTGTTTACAGACCCCAGAAACGCCGGCTTCGTATGGATGAGAGGCTGGTTTGGTGAAAAATTTGTGCGTTTAGGCCAGGGTTTGGCTTCGTGTGGACGGGGCCTAAGGCCTTAGTTTTATTTTGAAGAATTCAATGCCTTTTAAGACTTTTTAAGGACCCGAGGGAACCCTGATCTGGATAAATGTCTCATGTTAACATTGACAGTGCTGTTTACTGCTAAAGGAGTTCCAAATTCTTTTTTAACTCGGTTAGGATTCAAAAACGTCTCAAATAGACCAACTCAACTTGTTGCATAAGTCTAGGTGGATGGAAATGCGCCCATATTCAAAACATTTAAGAATAAAAAATGAAAAGCTATGTCACTTTGTGGAACCATCGTTTGCTTTTTATTTCCCTGCGAAAACTGCTTTTTCAAGGTTTGAAGATCATTTATTTCTTTTGAAACAACAAATGATCTTTACTCTTTAAAGGGACATTAAGTAAAAAATTCTCTTTTTTACTGCCAGAAATCACTGACTGCATTTACATATGTGCTATTATTGGTGTATTATTACCTCCACTAATAATCAGATAAATTTTTATAAGCGAGTAATTTTATATGAGTTTATACACAAGGCTGGTCACCCGTTTGCCATGACAGTCTGCCATCAAAGAAGAGACGCCGGCGAGGGATAAATAATAATGTGCAGAATAACAACGTATTTCCTCAAGCTGGCAGTTCAGTGTGATGAGAGGCTGTGGAGATAATTCGGAGACGCTAACCCAACAACTGAAAGTCTGCAACACTGCAGGATAATGCAGGAACATGCATTTGCAGCAGCAGCGCAAGAAACAAGAAAATGAAAAGGAGAACTTAGAAGACAAAGAAACTGGAGACTTTAAAAGAAAAAAAAAGGATTAACATCAGGCAAGGCTTTTCCAAGTGGAAAGAGCTAATAAAGGAGAAGCTGAAGTCACCAGGTTTCTCCTTGACAAGTGAACTGTGCTGCTTAAGTTACCATAAAGCTAACTTTTTCCATTCAGTTTAATCAGAGAGCGTTGCTCGTTACCATAGGAAGCATAACAGTAGATCCTGCAAACAAACGCAGATCTTGTTGGTACCGAATTGTAGTTTTACGCTGGTTTGGTAGCTTTCAAACGAGGAACGCTGGCTTTTGGTCAAAGTGACTTCATCTCAGATGACTTTTTGCCTCAACAATGTCCGTTTCTCAATTCACAAGAACATGAGTACGGACTCGTGACCTTGATGAGTATGTTCTTGAGAAGAAAAGTGTGGAGAACGGGAGCATGCAGCATAAATATGGGTCAAATAGAATAGAAGCGTACTGATGACATCACCACATGCTCAGGTCGTCTAGAGCTGGGTCATCTCTAGGTAATAATAAATTCTTACTTTTTCATTTAATGGGGAAGTAATAATTAACAGGCAGATAAACACAAATTAAATTAACATTTTGGTTAAAAAAAATAAATAAAAAAATCGCCATCAGAGCCAGCGGTCCTTCACACCCGGCTATGCCGAGGGAGGGATGCAGCAGACGGGCTAACGTTAGCCCTGGAGGTCCGCTGGTTGTCGCGGTCCTCTCAACGTCTGAGCTTTTTTTTTTAAATTAAGCACAAAATTAGTAAATGGGCCATATAGAGATGCTTAAAAGTATAATATTCTCGCCTTAAAGGATCTTAAAACGCATTTTAATGGAACAACGCGACAGAAAAGAGACCTTTTAACTCCCGATACCCTGAGCTATGTGAGCGCTCCATTGGAAGCTGCTGCTGCCGCAGTGCATGCTGGGACAGCTGTCAATCAAGGACGGGAAAGTCTGCTCTGATGCATGCTGGGTAAATAGGGAGCGGCGAGAACAACATCCGGGGACTTTGTCCATTCTCGGTTTGCTGTTCTTGTGAATTGGAACAGTACTAGGGCTGAGGCTGATGACGTTTCACGAGCACATGAGAACGCACAAGTACACATATTGAGAAATGGCCATGTCACGTATTGCAGCAACCATTGGCGCAATACATGTATGAGGCAGTGACATGCTAGGTTTTGTTTTTCGTTTAAATTAAATACCCCATTTTACCACTAGATGGCAGTAATTCTTATACACTATCCCTTTAATTATATTAAAAACATGAATATTTTTTTTTCCAAGTTACAATTATGTGCTAATTTGTGTGCTTCAGTTTAAGACACGTTAAAATGTGTGATTTTAACATGAATATTTGTGTAAATCCCGAGAAGAGGCATACCATAGTGGGGCTGTTGTCGATCATGCTGACCACCTGGATTTCAATCCCCTCTTCATCCACGTCTTTCAGAAGTCGCATGATGTCACTCACACCCATCCATTTGGTGTCTCTGTCGCCCACCGCTACGATGTAGTCGCCCTCCTTCAGTCCATCAGCCTGAAAAAGTCAAGAGAACAAGAGTTAGAGAGCGTGAACACTTGAATATACACATTTACCAGGAATGAGCTGAAGGAGTTGCTTTCATCTCGCTTCCTACCCTGAGGCAGCTACGATAAGTGGTCAGAGCACTGAGGTTAAACACAGGTGACGGTGTGTGCAGAGGAGCACTTTTTTCCTGAGGGAGTTCATATCCACAGGCAGGAGTTTAACTGTTTCTATTTAAGCTGCTCGACAGAATCTACAGAATCGCTCGGTTACAACAGAAAATGCTGCTGAATGTTTTAAAATGAGTTTGCTAAGAGATTTGGTTCTCAAAAAGCTCATACGGCTCCACTAATCTGTTTCTGTGGATAACCTGCACAGCTTATGAAGGCCTGCTTTTTGTTAGCACTTCTTAATGAGCTGTCAGCCTATAAAGGATTGCAGGGCGTAAATACTCCCCATTTCTTAATTTAATTAAGAAGCCTGTGTGTGTCAGGAGGGAGGAGGGGAATGTACTCTTACATTTTTAGAACGCCATCCTGTTTAACCCTGAGCGTCTAATTTCATTCAAACCTAAGACTAATTTAAACTATTCTTTACATTCTCTGAAATTTAAAATTGTACAACAATCCCAGCTGCATTAAAGCCAACGGTTATTTAGTCACTGTGCAAAGACTAAATAGTAAAGGGCAAAAAAAAACTAAAATTCTATAACCATGAAGCCTAAAAGTATTAAAAAAATTATAAAATGACAAATTAGGATTAGCCTTTTCAATGTTTTGCGGAAGTAGAGCAGAAAGAGCTCATTCAGTTCCAGATATAAATGATGACATGCTAGACAGAAAAGGCCTAAAAAATATATCTGAAATGGATTATGGGATCCATTCTTAACAGAAGGCTGCACACTGTCCAGGTTTCTTCCTGTAAAAATAGAGTTTTTTCCTCTCCACTGTCGCTGCATGCATGCTCTGCTGGAGAGACAACAGAACGAGGCAAGCAAATGTTTCCCGTTGCTACTTGTTCATTCAGGAGGATTGAATCCAGCAAAGGTAGTGGCTCAATGCAAACAGTCGAGTTTCCTTAGATCAGGGGTTTTCAGTCTTCAACTTTTAGATCCTTGGTCCGACACGCCTGAATCAGATGGCTGAATTACCTCCTCAGTATCCTGGTAATAGCTACGTTTACATGGACACAATCGGACTGAAGGCCTGATCAGGTCAAGAACTTTTCACATAAACATGTCAGACTGAGGATTCTAATCTGATCGGAAAGCAATTTTATTCCAAAAGAGAGAGGTGGTTTTTGGGAATCTTTATTCCGATAACCCTAACCCTAACCCATGTGTTGATGAAGTTGCCATCCTGCCCTCTACCCCTGTAGCAAAGGAGCATTAGCATGACCCCTTAACTTAACTATATGACCACCAAAAGAAAAGAGGCATGGACACAAAGATCTGACGACGCTTCATAGTGGAAAGAACTTACATCAACAGGCAAGACTGAAGAGCGGAAGAAAAAAAAATGTGCCGGACAGAATGAAAGAGTAGCTAAGGTTGAGGATGAGCGGACAGGTACGAGTTTGTTTACAGAACAGGAAACTTCTTCTACTGTTAAAACACTTCCTGAAAATGAGTCTGTGCATGCTAAAATGATTTAATCTGATCCAACCTTTACCACATGTATACACACGTCATGATAGGACCATTTCATTTCCTTTTGTGTCCATGGGAACGCCAGGATTGATTTCTTATTAATAAGCATTTAGATCTGGGAAATTTTACACATGTGGCTAATTTATCGCGATCAATTATATATTTACTTGATTCAAGTGTGTTGGACCGAGGACTCATGAAAAGTTGCAGGATAAATGGCATTGCCCACCCCTGCCTTAGATGGAAAACATTTAACCAGTCTGGATTATCTGGTTGAATCTTCTCTGTATAGTACGGAAGAGGATTAGGGCCACTGAAAAAAAATAATAAAAGTTAACTGATTTCTACATTTTCTTTCAGTTTAATATGGGGAAAAAAGTCAGTATTCTGACTTTGATCCCAGAATTATGACTTTTTCTCAGAATTATGACTTTAATCTTAGAATTCTGACCTTTTTCTCAGAATTATGACTTTAATCTCAGACTTCTGACTTTTTTCTCAGAATTATGACTTTAATCTCAGAATTATGACTTTAATCTCAGACTTCTGACTTTTTTCTCAGAATTCTGACTTTAATCTTAGAATTCTGATCTTTTTCTCAGAATTCTGACTTTTTTCTCAGAATTCTGACTTTAATTTTGGAATTATGACCTTTTTCTCAGAATTCTGACCTTTTTCTCAGAATTCTGACTTTAATCTTAGAATTCTGACCTTTTTCTCAGAATTCTGACCTTTACTCAGAATTATGACTTTAATCTCAGACTTCTGACTTTTTTCTCAGAATTCTGACTTTAATCTTAGAATTCTGACCTTTTTCTCAGAATTCTGACCTTTACTCAGAATTATGACTTTAATCTCAGAATTATGACTTTTTTTCTCAGAATTCTGACTTTAATCTTAGAATTCTGACCTTTTTCTCAGAATTCTGACCTTTTTCTCAGAATTATGACTTTAATCTCAGAATTATGACTTTTTTTCTCAGAATTCTGACTTTAATCTTAGAATTCTGACCTTTTTCTCAGAATTCTGACCTTTTTCTCAGAATTATGACTTTAATCTCAGAATTATGATTTTTTCTCAGAATTCTGACTTGTTTCTCAGAATTCTGACTTTAATCTCAGAGTTCTGACTTTAATCTCAGAATTCTGACTTTAATCTTAGAATTCTGACTTTTTCTCAGAATTCTGACTTTTTCTCAGAATTATGACTTTAATCTTAGAATTCTGACCTTTTTCTCAGAATTCTGACTTTTTTCTCAGAATTATGACTTTAATCTCAGAATTATGATTTTAATCTCAGAATTATTATTTTTTCTCAGAATTATGACTTTAATCTCAGAATTATGACTTTTTTCTCAGAATTATGACTTTTTTCTCAGAATTATGACTTTAATCTCAGAATTCTGACTTTTTCTCAGAATTATGACTTTAATCTTAGAATTCTGACTTTTTTCTCAGAATTATGACTTTAATCTTAGAATTCTGACCTTTTTCTCAGAATTCTGACTTTTTTCTCAGAATTATGACTTTTTCTCAGAATTATGACTTTAATCTTAGAATTCTGACCTTTTTCTCAGAATTCTGACTTTTTTCTCAGAATTCTGACTTTAATTTTGGAATTATGACCTTTTTCTCAGAATTCTCACCTTTTTCTCAGAATTCTGACTTTAATCTTAGAATTCTGACCTTCTTCTCAGAATTATGACTTTAATCTCAGACTTCTGACTTTTTTCTCAGAATTCTGACTTTTTTCTCAGAATTATGACTTTAATCTCAGAATTATGACTTTTTTCTCAGAATTCTGACTTTAATTTTGGAATTATGACTTTTTTTCTCAGAATTCTGACTTTAATCTTAGAATTCTGACCTTTTTCTCAGAATTCTGACTTTAATCTCAGAATTCTGCCTTTTTCTCAGAATTCTGCCTTTTTCTCAGAATTCTGACTTTAATCTCAGAATTATGACTTTAATCTTAGAATTCTGACTTTTTTTCTCAGAATTATGACTTTTTCTCAGAATTCTGACTTTTTCTCAGAATTCTGACTTTTTCTCTCAGAATTATGACTTTTTCTCAGAATTATGACTTTAATCTTAGAATTCTGACCTTTTTCTCAGAATTCTGACTTTAATCTTAGAATTCTGACTTTAATCTCAGAATTTTGGATCTTAATGTAGATGGGCACCATGAAGGAAGAGATGTGGAGCACTCAGCTTCACTGACAAAGATGTGAGTTGTTTAAGGTGGCCGGTGACACATTGGTGGAAAATGACGGAATTAGGCAACTTTTTACGTGCCTGAGGGGTCCCCTCATTAATGGCTATGGCTTGATGCTAACATGTTTGTTAGCTGTCAGAATTCTGAGATTAAAGTCAGAATTCTGTTTTAATTCAAACTGAAATAAAATGTAACAATCAGTTAACTTTTTTTTTTTTTAGTGGCCCTAATCCTCTTCCGTAGTATAGCTCCTTGAGACGACGCCTTTAAACTGCTGTGATATAAAAAAAACTTAACTAACTAGTTGTAGCCAGATATAAAAGTATAACCTGAATATCAGCATATATGATCTACACTGCAAAAACAATCTAAAAATAAGTAAATTAAGTGTATTTACCCTTAATTTGAGAAGGTAAGTAAGAGGATTTGCCAATGGAATGAGTATTTTTACACTTAAAATAAGATAATTAGATAAAATTCACTTGAAATAAGAAAATGCAATAGTTTTTTCTTATTTTAAATGTAAATTGTCTTGTTCTATTGGCAAAGTGTCTCACTTACCTCCTCAATACAAGAAAAAATGCCCTTATTTTAAGACAAATTGACTTATTAAGATTAAAATTTTCTGCAGTGTATTTCAGCCTTCACATGTGTAGCACTAGCTAAAATATAAAAAGGAAAAGCAACAAAACAAAAAGACCAAGCCAACTGAAGATATTAGAGTTTGAGGAGCAAATTCCACCATATAGTGCTTCCAATTTTGACATTTTCAATTAAACTTTTTCACAATTACAGATGCCAGTCTGTTCAGTGTCCAGGTTTTCTCCTGACTTCCTCCTCCTCTCTGGATCAATCCTCTCCTCATCTCCATCTTATGACCTTTCATTTAGTAGCAAACTGATTGTTTTTGGTTTTGGTTAAGAGTTGATGCCTGAATTTGATGTTCTAAAAGCAACATCACCACGCTTGTGCACTCAGATGTGAAAAAAATGTGGTTTAACTTACAGCCGCTTTGCTGAGAGGGTCCAACGACACCACCTGAACCGGTGCTTCTCCTTTCAGAGTGAAACCCAGATCTCTGTCCTCTGCGCAAACAAGGATCTTCCTCGGAGGAGTCCACTTCTGCTTGGCTGAGAAGACTGACAAAGGGCCCTGAGTGGACACAGGGGGAAAGGGTTTGGGTTAATTGGATTTTTAGATTCAAAACGGACAATTTCCTGCTAAGTTTTATGTTGCTTAAAGTCTGTTTTTTTCTTCCTGGATGATAATTGATGTCATAAACATCCTCTCTTCATGGAGCAGTAATGAAGATTTCAAAAAGCCACGCATTACCAGCACTGAAGTGGTACCTGTACCACCAGGGCAAGGAGAGTTCACACGCATGACGGACACATATATCCCCCTTTGATTCCTCCAAACAAAACAAATCTTTATTCCTCTTTATTCCTTTTCAGCAGGGACAGCCCTGAAATAAAACATTTAAATCTGGCAATCCTGTAAATCTTTTAAAGGATTACAACCTTGTGCTTAAACTGTTAATAAAGAGGTGGGTTGGATTTTATGACAGGAACAACAGAGCTGCTTATGGTCTGAGGCTTTACCCCCTGCTGTCAGAAACTGATGCCTGTATTTTATTAGAGTAGTTGTAAACTGGGCTTAACCAAAGAGAGACGTTCTAGATTTTGGAGCCGTCTCAGAGGATTCAAGCAGAGAGGAAAAAAAACAAAAAAAGAAATGTCCCAATTGGCCCATAGCAGATAAATAATGCAGCAAATATCATATGGGAGCAAAAAAAGAATCCAATTCCAATGTTGAAACTGCAGGAGCTTAGCAATCCCTGCTGGGAGTTTTCTCAAGTCTAATGCTATGCAGTAGGCTAACAGGAAGTAGAATTGATTAAATAAGGGCACAAACGACCCATGTACAGAGGCCTTAGTCCTCGACGCGTGTGACCCGGGTTCAAATCCAACCTGTGGTCCTTTCCTGCATGTCTCTACCCCCTCATACCTCCTTTCTTGTCTGCCTACTGTCCACAAAAGACGAGCCAATAGCGCAGTAAACAGTAAAAACGGATTAAATATCAGATATCAGGTTTTTAAAAACATCTTTTGCAAAAAATAATTTGAAGTGTTTGGTGAATTTCTAAATTTCTAATCAGCCTTTCGCTACAGCAGTTATACCCGCTGGTCTTTAAGGGTACATCTCCACCACTTTGCAAATAATTGTCCCCAGACTTTGACTAGGCCTTTTTAACAACTGAACACACTTTCATTTTAACCCCTTCAATGCAGCTTTGCTTGTTTTTTTTTGTTTTTTTTTAAGGAAACTGCTGTGCTGGAAGGTAAACCTCTCCCAGTGTGTTTTGAACACTCCATTAGGTTTCGGTCCAGATTCGATGATAATCTTTCCCTCCCCTCTAAAGGCCTGGTTATCCTCCCACAGCAGTGAGCTTGTCACAGATATTTTTCATTTATGTCCAATATTGCAGCGTGGTCTCTGCTATGTTATTCCACGCCATGGCGCAAAAGGGACAACCAATAACTAGCTGTGGGTCTAGATACGGCCGAGGCGGTGAGGAATTTGGGGCAAGTTTCATGAGGGTGGAAAAAGGGTCCCAGCGTTCTCGCGCACCACGCTCTTCTAGCTGTTCCATCTTAACGAGTCATTTTCCACAATCGTGGTCATAAAAACAAAACAAGCCGGTAAGGAACCAAACAGGAAATAAGCATAGAGTAGAGAGGATGTAGATGTGACCAATCAGAGGCCTCCTGTCTGCAGCACTGTCTGCGGTCACCTATAATTCTGGAGAGGTGCACATTTGCATTCACTTTGACACCCATGCAGACGGCCTGGTTTCTGAGGATAAATCAGACTTAACTTCCTGCTGAAGAAAGGTATCCCACAGCACGATGCTGCCACTTATTCTCCTCCGATTACAGCAACTTCCTCTACATATTGCTGTGTTTTAAAGGCACACTATGCAACATTTTTCAGTTAATTAATGTGTTCCATAACGTTTTGGATGATTAAATGAGTCATTTCAGGTTGAACAAAGGTTTTCTCGGCCGCCCTGGTGGTCTGTGGGGGAAATACCGCACTTGCAATTGCAGGAGCCCTCGGCCCGCACCCACAGGCTCAGAAGTCTCGCGGGAGTCGGTCTTGCTTTACGGCGAGAACTGCTACACGCCCCCAGTTAAAAGCATGCTCGTTGCTAGCACAGTGGCGATCTTTGTGCAGTTATCATGGCGAAACCAGCGTGAAAACAGCGAAAGCCCATGTCGGAGCAGGCAAGAAAGAGGAAAAGGGCTCCGGACAGAGAGAGGAGTCGTACACGGGTGAACATCGGGCAAGCTTTTTCCGAATGGCGAGAGCTAAAATAAAAAGAAGGCTGCAAGGCTGACGCGGACCTCGCGTTTCTGCTGATGCGATTGTAAGTAACATTGTAATGGTTTCTCTCTCTCTGTGTGCATGTTCATACTTTCACTGTGTTAGTCATTCGTTGCATTCGCCTGTCTGCTAAGCTCAAAACAACAGCGCCTGGCTTGACGGAGAAACCAGGAGAACAGCTGAGCATATTTACGACAGTGCACTTTTACTTTCGCCCTCTGGGTGGAGCCTCGCTGGAAAATCAACACCGGTTGCATAGTGTACCTTTAAATAAGGCATCTAATAAATTAGACATAGATGTTTGGGGGGTTTTTGTCTAAAAAAATTGCTTTTTTCCCACTTTTTCCAGAGTCAGATTTGTGAGGAGAGCAGATGGATCTCTGCAGCTCTAGAGCTGCAACAGGCCTGGATTTCTCTGACTGATGCACATCAAACCTCTCAGATCTGTAAACCATACATCTTTCTCTTCTGCTGCACAAATTCCACAGCTTTAGCTGTTCTGTCACACAACTCCTCATTAAAACACACTCCAGTGTAAATGTAAAGAAAGTTATAGAAACAGGATTCATCTCAGATGAAATATAGGAAGTGTGCTGAACCACAAAATTCCAAGGAAAATTTAAAAGACTAATCCCAGCCCATAACAAGAACAATAAGTCAGAAGAAGTTCCACTTCTTTCAGCCTCATCCCAGTTTAGACCACAATAACCAGAGCAAGGATAAACCAGGCTCCGCCCTTTTCCGTCCACAGTTAGTGTTAGTTTTGCATTTATTGCTTTGGATGAAAGTCCAGGAAGCTTTGGAAATGGCTCCACCAAATGCGCCAAAGATTCCTGGAGTCTCACCTTTGGTTGGTTTTATTCAGAAATGATAGAAAACTCTAGTTGCCGCAGAGCCTTTTCATACCACTTGATGAACAAACCAACCATCACAGGAAAAAAACAGTGATGTAAGTGAAGGATATTAGTAACCCACATACCAGCCTTTGGAAAAAGTCGATGACTTTCACCTTTGTGGAAGCGGGAAGCTCCATTTCTGCTTTATGCTCCGTTTTAGCTGTGAAAGGAAGCGCAGAAATGATTCAGTCAATTACAATGTTTACTGTCACCAACCCATACGAGCTGCTGCCCTGCAGGGAGGAGGACATGAGGTTAACAGAGCAAACATTACATCAGCTGAGCTCAGAGATAATGGTCGCTTATCAAAGCTAATATAACTGCAGCAGGTGTGGGAAACAACAGAGGAGCTTTTCATGTCAGGTTTCCTGAGAGACGAACCACACAGAGAGAAACAAAACGCTCTCTGAGCTCCGGGAAGCATTTGTTGTGGAGACGCTCAGCTCATTGTTCTGTCGCTAAGTCAATCTCTGCCATGTTGTCTCTTAACACAGGGGCACAGACAGACTGGATTCCTCCAATCTTATCTGAACATCCTGTGCTAAAGCAAACAGGATATTTGCTTCTTTTAAAACAGCCCAGGGACTCACAGATGATGTCTGGAGCTTCGATGTAGTCCGCAAACTCTTCCTCGCTTTCAAAGTCTGTGTACTTGTTGAGAGAGCGCTGGTGGCTGGCTTTTAAAATTTCCTGCAGGACGTCGTGCTTGTCCTGTTGCTGGCACAGACCGTGATTCCTTAGAGCCTCTTCGTGACTGGCGATGGCACGACGCATATGAGCTTTACCTACGGAGGAACGGACAAAACAGGATCAGAGACGCACAGAAGCAGCCATTAAACGTTTTCACCTCTGCTATGATTAGCTTACCGATACGTTCACGTTCATCTTTGTCCTTCAGGATGTCGAGTGGGGAGCATCCCTCGGGGAGCTGATCGTACACCTGAGATAAGGTCTTCTCCTGCTGATCCTCATCATCGTTGGGGCCCACTAAACGCAGAGGGAGAAAAATCAATCCCAGACTGAGAAACGTCTCATTTTAAACGGAAAATAGATTTTCAGAAACTGTCCTTTAAAATAGGATTCATATGAAGCAATGACAATTATTTTTAAGACATGCTTTTTAAATATAAACTGAAAAATGTAGATATTTTTTTTATTTTTTTTTTGTGAAGGTTTTAGTAGGAAGTTTAAAACTTCCATGGATTTTTTTTTTCTTTTCAGGTTTACTGTGATCGTACAAAGTTCACATTTTTGTGAAATGAAAGAAAAATGAAGAATGTTTTTCATTTTTTTGTCCTGACTGCCATTCCAGACAGAACATCAGGCTTTGATGTGAACCTGTTCTTTGTTGCTCTGGTTTTGTGTTTAGAGTCATTGTGCTGCTGGAAAGTGGATCTCCACATCAGTCTAAAGCCTCTCTAACAGGTTTCTGATTTATTTTCTCAAATAAAATAAAAAATATATATACTTTTTAATAGGGATGCACAATATAATCGGCCCCCTATCGGTATCGGCCTTAAAACTGAATATCGGACATCGGCCACCCCACCGATATTTAACCCGATATTTGATCAGCTTCTGAGTTTCTAAAGTCTAAAAAAAAAATAAAATACTACTTCTTCCTCAAAACTTCTTTTTTACAAACTTAAAAACTTCTAAAGACGAGGGAAAAAATATTGATACATTAAAATATCACAATATCTTCATATGCTGATATATTACCATTTAAAAACACCATATCAATCTCTTTTACTAATGAAATATTGCTATATGTCATCGTTATGCTACGAAATCCCCCGAAAATTCACGAAATTTTTGCCATATTTTTATATGTTGATATATTGACGCGGTATCGATCTATTTTACTAACAAAATCTCACAAGAATTTGGAAAATATCACAAGAGTTTGTAACAGAACGATGAAATTTCACGAGATTTTAAAAAGTAAAATAGATCGATACCGCGTTTTTAAAAATCAATTTAATATCAGCATATGAAAATATATTTGAGTTTATTATTTTTCAAATGGATAACAAAACTGCTATTTTCTATGACTACTTATTTTTGTCCAGCTTTAATATCGGTATCGATATCGGTTATCGGCTACATGAGTTTTAAAATATCGGCATATCGGATATCGGCCAAAATCCCAATATCGTGCATCCCTACTTTTTAAATATTTTTGCCAGTGGCCCTAATCCTCTTCTGAAGAACATGTGAGAATTCTGAGAAAATAAGACAACATTCTGAAATTAAAGTAAGAATTCTGACTTTTTCCCCATATCAAACACATGTAAAACGGCCCTAATCCTCTTTTGTAGGTTTACTTTCAGAGCCTCTTTTTAAGCTACCCCTAATGAGGAAACACTTCCCCACAGCATAATGCTGCCACCGCCATGGTCCAAAAAGGAAAAGATGTGATTAGCTTTCAGCCACGAAGGGGGCTTGGAGATATGATAGATATAATTAAAATCTAATCTAGGGCTGAAACTATTAATTGGATTAATTGTGGTCAGGGAAATAATCAACTAGTTTAGGTAATTAAATGTTAGCCTCGTGAGAGCATCCTGATCTCGCGAGCTTTCAAGGTTTCACTCGCAGATCAGTCTGGAGACTCTCCGTTAAAGAAACTTTGGAGCCGTTCACCAAGCGACGTCCAATCAGTGTTGGCTTTGAGGCGGGTTGAGGTGTGACGCAACGAGAAGCGCGACAGTTCAGTCTAAAGAACATGGCGGCTTCAGCCGATGAAACTAGCGTTAGCGTGGCTATCGAGGAAGTTTTATTGGAATTACAGAGTATTTCTTCACTGAAATAAGAGCAAAACACTGCTCTGGAGGCTTTTCTCAGAGGAAAAGATGTTTTTGCTCTTCTCCTGACTGGTTTCGGCAAGAGTTTGATCTATCAATTGGCTCCTCTTCATCGTCGCTCTGTTAGTACGTCATATGCTTCGTTGATCTGATTGATTTATTTGGCCCGTCTATCACCAACATAGGCCAATCAGCTAACCAGTATTTTCGCCCCTTCCCAAAATTACTTCTACGGAAGGTTTCCAGATGGATATGCGGAGCAAATCCATCTGGCGGAGTCAGGTTAATTAAATGTATGGTAAAAATGAAAAAAAATTGTGACGTTTATAAACATTCTTACCTCTAATTCATTTAGATGATACTCAAAATAATCTCTTATCATGATGGAAAGTTTATCATGATGTCAATAAACAATAAGATCAAAAGGCCACCTTTTTAACCCATTTAACATGGTTAAGTATCCTTTTTTTTCACAGGATAAGAGCTATTTTTTCATGCTGCTAGGAAATAAAACTAGTTTTAACTGGTAGTTAATCATCTCATCAGATGAAAGCAGTCTGAGAAACAAAACGCTTTACTTTCATTCAGCGTCTCATATTAATTGACGTGTAAAATCCCAACCAAACAGAATAAGCTTTGATGCGACTTACAGTAAAGAAAAAGCAAAACTTTCTGCTGATTCTGGTAAATAGGATTATAGAAAAACTTCATTATTTTTATCAAAAAGCTCCTCAGAATATGAGTTATTTTAAAACTTTATGAAGTGCCTGTAAACGGTGGTCTGCGAGTCCTGATTAAAGTTTCAGATGAAATGATCAGACCTTTCTGTGACGTTCTGCTTCACTGAGGCAGAACTATCGGCTGGTATTTATGCTTCATCTCTATTCCGCTGCTGCCGTCATTTAGCGCCGTTCCTCGCTTCTATCCGTCCTCTATTCTCTACGGTTCTGTGGTTAATTGCTTCATTTTCCTCGTTCTCTCAGGAATTTGTTAATGAGCTGCCAGACTCAAAGCTGTTTCAGTTTGATGCTGTTCTATTTATTGGTCGTAGTCCAAGCATTACAGTCTTGCTCATGTTTTTGCACGCTCCCGCTAAACTTTCCAACCTCTTTAAAACCTGCAATTGGCCTCAGCAAAAAAAATGCAGAAACAAAACGAGACAAAGGAAATTTAATTGGACTGTGGGTTAGAAAATAAACCGCAACTTTTTCTTTTTAATTATAACAGATTGAACTATGGCATCGACAAGACGTCACAGCTAATCAATCACATCGGTTATGCAAACCCTACAGCAAACAAAAAACTTTTTTTTTTTTTTTTGGAATGTTTCCCCAACTTAAATATCTTTTCATTTACTTGGATTTTATTTATGTGGACAGGATACATAAAGGGTCGCTCGCCTTAATCTAAACAGCTCTGTTCTACTTTAAATTCCTTCCTTGTCTTTGCTCTCTGTTGATCACAGCTCTATGGACAAAGCTGCAGAGTTTGTGTGTCGATGTGTGTGTCCTTAAATAGCTGTTGTGTAACAGCTTTTGGTTCAGTCATCTGGCAAAACCAGCAGAAGCAGAAGCCCTCCCAGTACTACAGGCAAAAGAAATACTGGTTTAGGCTGTTTTCCCAATCAGGCAGGAAACCTTTTCTCTGATAGGAACTTCTGACTCTGAATGCATGCTTTCCGTCACATCTTTTATAGCTTTTCACCGTGTGTGTTTTCTAAAAAAAAAGGTTTCCTTACGCTCATGATCCAGCAGTGCTGAGGCCATGAAGTGATGTGCAATGGCACGGTAGTGGTTGGTTTTGACCAGGGACATGGTGGACCAGAAGAACGGCACGTTGTCTTTTATCGGCATCTGGATCATGGACTGATGGACCTGATCGTAGATTTCTGAGACCTGGCAAGAAGAGAACGACGGAGGAAAAAGTGGACTTTAAAAGCAGCAATTTGAGGAGATGGCCGTGATGACATCACGTGCAGTTTATGATGTCGTATTTACCTTTGCAGCCTCCTGAGCCATTTTAATCAGGGAGATGAACTGGTTCATGATCCCTGGAAGTGCGATCTTCTCAAAGATGCACTCCTGCGCTTGAGCAAGCATCAGGCGAATCAGCATGCTCACCATGGCTGGGCTCATGTCGTAGCTGGGCGTGTGGGTGAAGGTTTCCTTAAGGTGGTTCAGCATGCCTGGAGGAGGGATTTGAGTTAACAGAAGTCCAAGCAAAACTCAAAAGGCTTTAAATCATTTATGCTCCCAAAACAGCCAAGTCACATGGATCAAAATCACCTTTATGAAAGGATAAGTTTCTTTTAAGTGTGTTCATCTCATCTTAAAAATTAAAAAGAACCTGAATAAACTCAGTGGTTTATCTTTGAAGCCAAAAGGAAGATTTTTTTCCTTTCTGTCTCCTGAAACCTCATTTCAATTTATTCTGGTAATAATAATAATAATCTTAAGAGATGCATCAAGAAACCTGTAGATTAAAGATCAGCTATGTTTAGTGTGAAACAGATGCTTCCAATTAAAAAAGATGAAAGAACATACTGAATATTTCCCTCACAGGTTGAGACATGCTCAGGAGGGGGGGTGGGTGTTGGTGCATCAAAGATTCTCTGTTTTGAGCTTTAAACTCAGGGTTATAGCAGGTTTTAGGAGAACCTCAGTTTAAGGATCCAGATTCTCTGGGAAAAAAAACTTGGTTTGACAGTTTTTTCTGTGATGTCAGTGGCTCCAACTGTGCTAACTGCTAATAAGCTAAAAACAGTTTAAAAGTTGACATCTGAGCAGTTATAAAAAAAAAAAAAATCAAAATTAAAAAAGATTGATTTTCTTTTCTCTCTCGCACAAACACGTGCCTTGACGTCACTTCTGTTAGAAATATGAAAAATTTATGATTAATTATTTTGGATTATGCTCTTATTTCCTTTATTAAACATCTTAAAGAATAGTTAAAATTTAATCTTTATCTTATGAAATCTTTTAAAGTACTCCTCATGTGTTGGCCTAGTGGGTTACAGCGTAGCGCTTGTGTTCTGAGAAGGTTGCAAGAACCCTGATCGAATCTCACAGACTGCCACTCTGGGTCCCTGAGCAAGACCTTTAACCCCGCACTGCTCCCTGGGCGCCGCACGATGGCAACCCACTGCTCCCCAAGGGGATGGGTTAAATGCAGAGGTTTAATTTCTCCATTGTAAGATCAATAAAGTTCAGTTGTTATTATTATTAGTAACCTGCAACATTTGATCGATGGCAGCTCTGCATACAAACAATCCTAAAACATAATTCATCAGTTTATCATAACTAATACATCTATAGTTAAAAACGCCAAGAGCAATAAAACATTGACATAAAATGCTTGTATTTTCTTTTATTTAAAGTCGTAAGAAAGCGGCTGTTCCAACCGTTGCGTTTCTGAATTCTCCCGAGTGGTGCACGACTTTACACGAGTGAATAAAGTGAATGTGATTGGCCGATTATCAAGGGGGCGGGATTGTTGTGGCGGAAGGTTCGCAAGCAAGTTTGGTCCGGTTTCTCAGAAGCATCTTGCTAACCAGTTAGCAACTTAGTGCTAGTAGGTTCCCAATGGGAAATTCCATTGGGACCAAGAAGCACTACATTGGTGATTTAGAAACGACACTGTCAAGGAACGCAATGGACAGCGGAAACATCCGTCATCCATTTTTTATTTAGAGGAGGAAAGCGGGAACGAAGATGTTGTGGAAGAGGACGCCAGGGCGGCAGAAGCTTGGTTTGGTGTAGAAGGCTTCCAGCCGTACATGTTTGAGCCCTTGCCTCGCAACGCTGCCAGTTCTGTTAGCTCTACGCCTGCCGAAGACACAGACGTCCATCCCCGTGAACACTGGGACGCAACTCAATGGGAAAGGAAATGATTCTGATTTACACCGTTGCGTTTATTAGCTGCGACATATGAATCAAGAAGCTATGACCGAAAAAAATAGATTGACAGATGACCGTTGATATATGATTGGCCGAATTTAGGTGTTCAGGCTGACGTAGAACTAACTGGCCTGAAGAAGATGACGGAAAAAAACACAGATTTCAAGACAGGATTTTTTTTTAAATTGAAATTTTCTAAATTTTGGCACAATATCATCTGATAAAGAGTACATTTATATACATGTTTAAGCCAGAATGATTTAACATTTAAATATGACTTCCCTACGACTTTAAATAAAGTTGCACCACTTTATTGTTATCAATCTGCACATCAATGGATAAATAAAAGCTTTTTTTAAAGGAACGAGTCATAAAATCTAAATTCGCAGCAAGAGCTGAGCTTAGTAACAGAGAACTACGCTTCCAGCCAGAGCGCTGAGCCAAATCCACTGCATGTAAATCCTTAACATTAATCAGCCCTGAGCTCAGTTTGTTGCTCAAACAATGTTTCCTCTGACAGTATAATTGCTTTATTTTTACAAGTCTAACTGAAGATGAGCGCTATAATTAAAGAGCAGCGCTCCCGTCACTGCAGAGCCGCGCATCGATCACCGTCTTACTGTACTTGTTGACAGACCTTTAAGAAGTGGAGCGCTCCTTCATGTTTGCTGATGCTTTTTTGGACTTCAGCCACATGACAAGAAGCCAGAGAAACATGTGAAACAGAAACCAGAGGGTGGAGGCCGTCTGATAGCCAGACATAAAGCGCTGGCTATCCATCTGAACAATACTTTATTGTGTCCTTAGTGGGATTATTTGCAGCACAAAGAAAAACAAACAAACTTTCCTGCAAGTTAAAGAAGCGTTTGACATGACCATTATTTCTGCTGCGTAAAACAACCACGGGAAAATCTTTCTTCTATCATCTCACTATATCTACATGTTTCACCGCCACTGCAGGTTAAAGTGAACCAAGTGAAACTCTCCATCTTCTCAGGTTAACTTTGACGTACCTGCAGCTTTTTGGAAAGCGGAGATGGCCTCCTCCAAGCCCGCTGCTTTCTGCCGGTTACTGCGCGTCCCGATCTGGGAGTACAGCGCTGCAATGTTGAAGACCACGCTGGCTTTCTCTAAAGACAGGTTCTGTTGGCATACGGGAACGCCTGTGAAGGAGTCGTACCTGCAGGAAAGAAGCCAGAGCACGTTACCGTTTACTGTTCAATTCAACCCTCATAGTGGTTCACTGGACAAATCGAAATCTAGATAAGTCAATTTTTCTTAAATTAAGTGCATTTTTTCTTGAATTTAGGAGGTAAGAACTATTGCATTGTTTTATTTCAAGTGCATAATATCTAATTATCTTGTTTTAAGAGTAAAAATGCTAATTCCATTGGCAGATCATCTTATTTACCTACTCAAATTAAGGGTAAATACACTTAATTTAAGACACTTTTACTTATTTCTAGATTTTTTTTTGCAGTGTTCAAATTCAAACCAGTATACACTGGAAAAAACATCTAGAAATACGTAAACATTTCCTAAATTAAGTGTATTTACCCTTAATTAAGTAGGTAAATCAGATAGTTTGCCAATGGAATGAGTATTTTTACTCTTAAAATAAGATAATTAGATAATGTGCACTTGAAATAAGACAATGCAATTGTGTTTTCTTATTAAGTGTAAATTATCTTGTTCAATTGGCAAATTTCTCTTTTACCTCCTTAATCCAAGAACAAATGCACTTATTTTAAGAAAAAAATTACTTATCTGGATTTCGATTTTTTTCCAGTGTAATGTGAAATATTTCATATTGGCAATTTTTTTCCCTACAGTAGATCTTTTATGCAGTTTGTTTCTTTTGTTTCAACTCCCTGAACTAGAACGTCTTATTGCAGGGGGAAAAAAAGAAGCTGTAGGGAGACAAACAGCTGGCACCAGCCTAAATCTTTCTCCTCTAATTCTCCAATGAGTAGCGAGGCATTATGTAGGGATATACTTCCTGATCCACAGACTTAAGGAGGTGTCAGAATACTTGAAGACTGAAAACCCCCCAACAAAGGAGCTCAAAGCAGCCGATTTAAGAGAGGATTGCACAATGTCTCTTGGCCTTCAATTTCTTTGCACATTGCTTTTATACATTACAAAAAAAACATAATTGTTTGGTTTTTGAAATAGAAAATCACATGAAATGCAATAGTATTATCTTTCAGGAAGTTAAATTTAATGAATACCTTTCTGGTGTCATGTTTATTCAACACCCTCCCTTCTATCTGCAGAAAAGCCTCCCTAAAGCCTGATATTCCCACCGCCATGATTCACTTTGAGTTGAAGGGTACTACATATTTCCCACTTGGATAAAAAAAAAAAAAAAAAAGCTGCACCATCCTCCAAATTCGCCGTAAGACAAACATCAAACGGGACATTTTATGACCTCTTTTAACAGTTACAGTAATTACTTCCTTGTACTCTTCTATAGAAGAATATCTAAAATTTCTCATTTTTTTAATAAGGAAATTACATTTTATGAAGCTGTTGCTGTTAACCCTTTATAGGGCACTCGGTGAAATCCTTTGAAAATTAAAATTTCAACACTGCAAAAACACAAAGTCATTTTCTCTTAAAATAAGTGCATTTTTTCTTGAATTGAGGAGGTAAGTGAGACACTTTGCCAATGGAACAAGATAATTTACTTTCAAAATAAGAAAAAAAACAATGTTATTGTCTTATTTCAGTGCATATTATCTAAATATCTTATTTTAAGAGTAAAAATACCCATTCCATTGGCAGATCATCTTATTTACCTGCTCAAATTAAGGGTAAATACACTTGATTTAAGAATTTTTCTACTTATTTCCAGGTAGTTTTTGCAGTGAAGTCAATGCACTGGAAAAAATCAAAACCTAGATAAGTCATTTTTTCTTAAAATAAGTGCATTTGTTCTTGAATTGAGAAGGTAAAAGAGACATTTTGCCAATGGGACAATCCAATTTACACTTATAATAAGAAAACACAATTGCAATGTCTTATTTCAAGTGCATTTTATCTAAATATCTTATTTTAAGAGTAAAAATACTCATTCCATTGGGAAGCCATATGATTTACCTACTTAAATTAAGGGTAAATACATTTAATTTGAGAAATTTTCACTTATTTCTAGATCATTTTTCCAGTGTGAGTGTCATTGGAATCCAGGAAAAGACCTTATTACCTTTGTAACATTAAAAAAATATGGATGGCAAAAATGAATGTCAATGTAATAATAAACACCAACTTGCCCGAAATAAAAAAACAAAACAAAATATAGAATAACAAAGGTGCTTCAAGAAGAAATCCATGAAAAAAACTCCACAAAATGAAAGAAACACTTTTTTTTTTTTTTTACCTTAGCGGCATTAGTGCTAAAACTGGTACTTAAATTTTTTTTGTTTTTAAAACCTAAATATAATTGTTAACTAGGCTTATTAACTTTCTAACTTTACTTTTCAACTTTTAAATCCGCTTTTTACGTTTTTTCTTGACTTTTTAACTTTTTTTTTTCCCAACTTAACTTCCAGGTAGGTAATATATCCTTCAAGGGTTCATCTAATTGGCCAAATGCCAAAATAAGAAGTACAACCATGAGGCAGCATCTTTGCTGAATGGCTGGATATAGATCTTCTGCTTCTAGAACTCACTGAGGGACGGAGGGGACTCCATTTGTAAGGGATATGCAAGTGATCAAAAACACTAACTTGCCCTATAAAGGGTTAAGTAGGAAACTTCTGCATAGAATTGGTTGTACCGACTTTTATTTAGAGGTGCTAAATGCTCAACACATCAAATATTTATTAGCTAAAAGAAAGAAGGAAATTTGGAAAACATGTCAAATTTATAGACTTCATGAAGTTCTTTTCATCAGAAAAAATGCAAGCCAACATAAAATGGCTGAAAGGATGTGCAAAGTTGCGTAAATCAGATCATACCAGGTGAAGAAGATGCCGGTCTGGCGGGTCGGGGAGAAGAATCTGTTCTCTATTAGGGGAAGATGACCGTAGTATTTTGCGAGCAGCTCCACCCCAGCGTCATTCCTGCTTGGCGTTCTGCAGGCCTGAAAAAAACGACAGAAACGACGTTTGGTAACATGCAGTTCTAACACACTTTAGCTGTGATGACGCAGTGTTCTCACTCAAACTCCTTTCAGGCATTAGGAGCCTAGTGTTTGAAACTACAGCAACACAACCAGTCATTTCCAAACCCAGGGGCGTGGAACTGATGATGGGTTTTTAAGGCAGAGAATAACAGGCTGGGAAGCTGCTGTTAAAGCATTTAAACACCTCACCTGCCGCAGGTCCATCAGATCTGCAATCTCCTCCTCGAAACTTCGTCCGTCTTCATTGTAGTGCTCCAGGATGTAGTCCTGTCAAACACATGTGGAGTTCAGATGATGTTTGCATACAGTGCAGACAGCTTTGGGGCTTTTCTGTTCTGTCGCACAAATGACCTGAATCTAAAAATGGAGAGAATGCTTTTGAAACGCCTCACTCTTCTAGAAAGAGGCCGCGAAAGCAGCTCATTAAGACAGCGATCAGTTACTGACACGAAGAGACGCACAATAAACGTGCCATCACGACATTTATGAGACGGTTTCCTCTCAGCTCGGTGACGACTGGAGCAGCCGTTACAACCACTGACCTCAGTTGGAGTGACTGTGCTGACAGACAGCCCTGGAAAACGTGCCGAGCATTAAAGTTTTTGGCAGGTAGGGCGACGATAAGCGACGACAGGAACGTGCTTTGGAAAGCTTACGCACACGCTTGTTGTCAGGGTGAAAACAATGGCGGCTCGGTGACTGCTGCTGCTAATAATGCGGCGCAGACAAATGACCCAAATCCCCAATGAAAGGAGTCTCCTTTTAAATCCAAACTGTAAACAGCGATGTGGGTCACGTTTAGAGAATGGAAATCCGCTTTCATCCTGATCCTTTTAGGATGGGGTGGCGCTTTTTCTTTTTTTTTTTTTAGATTTACCTTTAAATTTATCCAGAAGTTCTTAAAAGAGACTTTATAGGCAGTGAGGATGCTCAATTCCCTCCCTGCCCTGCCCCCTTCGCCCTCCCCAATACCCCTGTCCCCCACTACTTCCCCCACGTCAGGACTGCTACTCTCTGCACCATTCGCACTGTTTGCATATTTAAATATTTTAATATTTGTTTTTATATCTTAGGTTTTTATTTCTATTTTTATTTTATGCTATGGTTCATTATATTTTATATTTTATTATGCACCATGGGGTTGAGAGGACTGAAATTTCATCTGTGTTGTATGTTTACCATGTAGAACATTTGACAATAAAGTTGAGTTGAGTTGAGTTTATTTTGATGTTGTTTATTCAACGCCCCTTTTCTATCTGCTTCTTTCTGCTTAGAATGATTTGTTTAAAGCTACTTCCATGTATGGCCATAATGAAAGATGCCATTTTGCGTGAAGGCGTTTGAAACACCTCGAATTGACCGCAGATCGCAGTTCTACTTGGTGCCTTCTGCTGAAATCCAGAAACATCCGTCTTCTATACAGCGGAAGGGAAGAGACTGTTCATCAGAAAAGGGGGACTGAAGGTGTCGTGATTGGAGCATAGAACTTGGAATCTTGAAGTTGTGAGTTCGAAACCCACTCCCACAGACAGCCCTACCCACTCTGGGTCCCTGAGCAAGATCCTTAACCCCACACTGCTCCCCAGGCGCCACTCAGTGGCAGAAAGTGGATTTTTTTTGCGCTGTACTCGTAGCCTCGTGAGACCATCCTGATCTTGCGAGCTTTCAAGATTTCACTCGCAGATCAGTCTGGAGACTCTACATTAAAGAAAATGTGGAGCCGTTCACCAAACGAACGTCTAATCGGCGTTGGCTTTGAGGCGGGTTGAGGTGTGACGCAACTTGAAGCGCGACAGTTCAGTCTAAAGAACATGGTGGCTTCAGCCGATGAAACTAGCGTTAGCGTGGCTATCGAGCAAGTTTTATCGGAATTACAGAGTATTTCTTCACTGAAAGAAGAGCAAAACACTGCTCTGGAGGCTTTTCTCAGAGGAAAAGATGTTTTTGCTCTTCTCCCGACTGGTTTCAGCAAGAGTTTGATCAACTGGCTCCTCTTCTTCGTTGCTCTGTTAGTACGTCATATGCTTCATGATCTGATTGGTTAATTTGGCCCGTCTATCACCAACATAGGCCAATCAGCTAACCAGTATTTTCGCCGCTTCCCAAAATTACTTCAACGGAAGGTTTCCAGATGGATATGCGGAGAAAATCTATCTGGCGGAGTCAGGTTACTGTACTAGTGGCAGTTAATGACAATAAAACGCTGGAGGAAAAAAATAACTTGTTCTCAAAAATGTATTCTCTTCGTTGCCTTCAGGGCGCCGCTTTGTAATTCCTAACTTTAAAACAAACCGCTATGCAAATTATTTTATACCAACAGCCATTCTACTTTTAAATTCTATGTAGGGTGGCTGGTGTGTTTTTAAAAAAGAAAGATAACCGTTATCTTTTTACCATCCTTCTGTGTTTTTATTATTATTGATTTTGGTCTTCGAGCTTCCTGTCACATTTTTCCTTTTAATCATCTTATTTTTTATGTTATTATATGTTAATTTTATTTATTTATGTATTTTTTGTTTGTCTTCTGTACTACTCAAACGGATTGTCCCTGATGAGATTAATAAAGTGGTCTAAGTCTAAGTAACAGAAAGGAAAAATAAGTAAAAACCAGGAGCAAATGAGGCTATGTGACTGAGCTTTGCCATTTCCAGGCCTTCTGCTGGACTGGCGAGTAAATTTAATAAAACAGTGAAGTTTATTTTGGTGTTATGTTAGAAACAGGCAGAGATACTTTGGCTACTTAGTTCTTTAAACTGGAGAAGCTTGGTTACAACAGTTAATCTTAACAGATGACATCCCAGCAGGCGAAGGTATACTTCTTTTAGCTGCATTTTCTAATAGATATTCAACAAGTTTCCTCCTTTTTTTAGCCGATTTGTTACGAGAAACAGTAGTGATGAAAAGTAGACCAGGATGTTGACACTTTTATGACACTCTGCAGCTTCAGTAGTAGCTTTAACACCCAGGGAAACCTTCTTGGTTTCTAATTCATTTACATGGAAAAAAAATCGAAATCTGGATAAGTAATTTTTTCTTAAAATAAGTGAATTTGTTCTTGAATTGAGAAGGTAAAAGAAATTTTGCCAATGGAACAAGACAATTTACATTTAAAATGAGAAAAACATAATTGCATTGTCTTATTTCAAGTGCACATTATGTAATTATCTTATTTTAAGAGTAAAAATACTTATTCCATTGGCAAACTATCTCATTTACCTACTTAAAATAAGAATAAATACACTTAATTTAAGACATTTTTACTTATTTCTTGATCGTTTTTGCAATGTAATGCACCATTACAAAAGTAAAGACTAAAGTGGTGTTTTTTTTTTTACCTTGAATGGAGCAGAGAAGTCGACTTCTTTAGTCTCCTTCAGACCCAAAGCGATGAGGGGAATGTGAGCAGTTTCTCTGTAAAGCAAAACAGAAAGAAGCTTGTTTACCATCAAAGATATACAGCTTAGACACCATGTGAATACGTCTGATAAACACGTGCGTAAAGAGATTGCAGCAAAACGATAAAAGAAACCGATGTGTTGGCAGCAGCGTGAGGGATTAAAGAAATACAAACCAATCCTGCCTTCAGGTTAAAAAGTCAACAATGAACAATTCCTTAATTATGTCCTGAATGCACGGCACCAGCTGATCCAAACAGCTCAAACTGCACTGAGAAAGTTCATGTTTTGTGAAATCTTTACAGAAAGAAAAAAGAATCATTTTAAGGGACTAAGGATTTGGCAGATGGTGCAGGGAACACACTGCAGGAGTCAGGATTTAAAGGTGAACGAGGGCCTCACGCTGCACCCACTCTCCATCAATTAATCATTCCCAAGCTGCTGCTTTGCTGCAGCCCAAACTCCTTTAATTGCGCTGCCTTTGAAATTTCCTGTGGTTATTAAAACCAGCTTCTACAGGAGGGAGACTACCAGGACCTAAACTTTATGCTGCATGTCAGTCGGCGCCGGATTGTTTAGGAATGCCGGGCAAGAGGGACAGATGGAGAGCAGGTTCAGCTTGTTATCAGGACTGGAGAAACAGACTGTGACAAGTACCTGTTGCTGTTTAGAGACGCTGCAATAAGCTGAAACCCTTCAAAGCAGCCTGGGAAACGCTTCACTAATGAGGACGCAATGTCGTTTTTGTAGTTAATATTTTCCCCATGTTCCAGGAACAAACAAATGCATTGGATTCCATGTTTCACAATAATTGAAGGGTGTTTGGGTGAAAGGGGCTAATTATAAAAGCAAGCCACACCTTTTAGGTTTTTTATTCATGAAAAAACGTGAAACTATCCTGAATATCCAGTAGAATATGGCAGAAAGACTACATGAACAAGCACAAGGTGTACAGACTACAGAATCCAGCACAAAAACACCCCGTTCTCATTCATCGCTTTAAGATAAGCCTGCATTCCTCTGCCATGCTGGCTCGGTGAATCACTGCAGCGGAGATAGGGGCTGCAGAGCACTGTGATGCATCAGCACTTGTAGATGAGATCATTCTGGTCTTGGCAGGAGCCAGCCTAAACGGGGGGGGGGGGTTCATCTGTAATGCTAGGATCCTAAGTAAGAGGGTAAAAGCCTCTGAGAGAATTCACTCCCCATCTCTGCATTCCCACCCACTGATCATTTAAAGGGAGATGGAAAAAACTTTGGGGTTAAAGGAATAGTACACCCAAAACATGATTAGCCTTCATTTTCTACTCACCCCCATGCTGAACAACACCCTGGAGTACTTTTTTGATATCTCAAATGCATCTGGAGATCTGGGAGGCTTCTTGCTGTCTGCTGACATTCAAATAATGGAGGTCTATGGCGCCCGAGGCAGAAAGGTCCATAAAAGTCCACAAAAAACGTGTCAATATTCCTCCATACTGCTCGTCCAATGTATTCCAAGTGTCCTGAGTGGGTAGCGTCCATAATTTACTCGAAACGAAGTCATTTAGAATGTTTTTAGAGCATAAACAGTAGTGTATAGGATTTCCTAAAAGCGCGTTCACTAGTCTACGGAAACCGCGGCAGACCAAACCAGATGAAAGTGCGCATTCAGCTCGGCAAAGAACTCATGCTCTTCCTCAACACTGAAGTCCTCAGACATTTTTCTTTCGTTGTTTCTTTCTTTGCACAGGTAAACAGCACATTTCTTCTTCTGCGCTTGCATTATCGGCAGAGCAGACGCTGAATGCGCACTTTCATCTGGTTTGGTCTGCCGGCTTCCGTAGCGTCATGAACGCGCAGGTGCGCGCTTTCAGGAAATCCTATACACTACTGTTTATGCTCTAAAAACATTCTAAATGACTTCGTTTCGAGTAAATTCTGGATGCTACCCACTCAGGACACTTGGATTACATTGGACGAGCAGTATGGAGGAATATTGACACGTTTTTTGTGGACTTTTATGGACCTTTCTGTCTCGGGCGCCATAGACCTCCATTATTTGAATGTCAGCAGACAGCAAGAAGCCTCCCAGATCTCCAGATGCATTTGAGATATCAAAAAAGTACTCCAGAGTGTTGTTCTGCATGGGGGTGAGTAGAAAATGAAGGCTAATCATGTTTTGGGTGTAGTATTCCTTTAAAGCCTGTTTAAACTCTCAATCTTTGAAATTTAAATGCAATAAAACGTGACCGCGCTTTGAGGCTCTGGAAATCTAGAAATCTGGATTTTGCAACAGGTTGAAGCACAAAGACCTGATCTCCCATCAGATATCACTCGGGGGAAAAACAAAAATCAACCATTTGACGTGATTTAAAGAGGATTTTCTTTAGACGTTTCACATTACAGGGAACAGATAAGCATATTCCAGCTAACACATGAGATTTGCATTACATTTCACTGCCTCTGAGGCCTTTATCACGGCAATAAAATTATTTTCTTCCCTCTCTCTCTCATATGCCACAAGGTTGAGGAAGCAGCCTGCAGATATGGTGCCATTATCTTTCTGTTGCTATGATTTTAGCCACGCTGGTGAGTTCTGGAAACCTTTAGGAGGGGTTTTCTCTCTACAGACGTATAAAATATGGGCCAAGATTACATGGAAGTAAACAGACTGTTTCTGCAGATAACAGCAGAACAATGTTACACTAGATATAGGCTATAGGTCCTCATCAGAGATCAACAGATTAAGGTTTGCTGCCCCCAATATTTATTTCTGGGTTAATCTGTCTAACTTAGCATGAAAAAAAAACACAAACCAGAATTGCAGCTTATAAATGGAGGCTTAATATCGTTTTCTTTTCTCATCTGATATTTATAGAAGTTAAAACAGATTGTTTATTTTTATACTAACTGTTAATTAATCTATCCTAATAAAAGATATTTTAAAAGAAACCATGTTAAAGCAAATCCTTCTGTTATGCAACAAATTGTGTTGGAAAAACCAGCTGAACCTGGTTAGAGAGGAAATGGGAGCGGAACCCGGGGAGCTCATGGGAAAAGCAGAGAAAGGTTACGGGAGTCGTTTGTTTGTGTTTTTTCCACTGAGGTAACGTTTCAGGCTTAAATAAGCCACCAACATCTTCATTGAGGCGATTTGCAGGATCACCCAAATGCATCCAAAGCTGCTCAGAAATAATGAATAGAACATATCCAAGAGCTTTGTGTTGGGATAATAAGTACATGGGGTTTTTCTGCAAGGCTTGTTTTGTGTTTCAGGCGGTGGGAAACACAGGTGGAAAGATAATGCTGGGTTTAGAGTCACGGTATTGTCAGGCAGAGCTGGGAGCTGCTGCTTCTTTAAGAACCTGGCAGAGACTGACAACAGACTGTTTGTCCTGACCCTGCTCTCCCTCCCTAATCCTAACACTGAGGGCATTGACAGAAGACACTGGGGAATAACAGTTTATGCAGAAGCTGCAGCTGAACCCTATTAGTATCGGTAATCCTGAAACCCAATGGAAAACTATGTTACCATTAACTCTGGTTTTGATGAAACTACTGGAGCTCAACATCAGATGCCAATAAGGAAAGTCGCTAATCTTCCACCGAGTCCTGAGTATCTGTGCAGACTGACTCCATCAATCTAGGTTAAAACCTCCTGAGTGTTGCGAGACAAACACAATAATCTGGGATTATTGTAGAGCCAACATTAGTGTGCATTTTGGCTTTGTGAGGTCATTTACAAGAAGACCTGTCTAGCTCTACAACTAATTCAAAGAAGGAAAATATGGTCTGATCATATAAGCCTGACTGCATATGAGCTCTGTAGCGTTTTACACCAACATTCAACATGAGCCAGATTATGAGCAGCTCAAACGTTCTGAAGAATCTAACATTTACACTGCAAAAATGATCTAGAAATAAGTAAAAATTTCTTAAATTAAGTGTATTTACCCTTAATTTGAGTAGGTAAATGAGATAGTTTCCCAATGGAATGAGTAGTTTTAGTCTTAGAATAAGATAAAAAGATAATATGCACTTGAAATAAGACAATAGAATTGTGTTTTCTTATTTTAAGTGTAAATTGTCTCGTTCTATTGGCAAAATGTCTCTTTCACCTCCTTAATTGAAGAACAAATGCACTTATTTTAAGAAAAAATTGACTTATCTAGATTTAGATTTTTTGCAGTGTAAAGCTGCAGTTTTAATTCCTGAATTCAAAAAAACAGATTATTTATCAACAAAGAAGAAAAACTTGGACTAATGGAGCAAACTGGGCCTTTTCTTAAGCAACCAGCAGTCTCTATCGCCTTCAATGATCATACAACTTAAAACCTCATCAGCGTTCTAATTTTGTTCACTAAAATCTATCTACCTGAGTTTTGTGCATAAAAGATCATGGAAAGCAGATATTTGATCCAATGTACTTAAATCAGTCCTTTCTAATCTGGTTTTAGACAAAACTGATCCTGCAAAGATGATTTCAGATCAACATAAAGATCATTGCGTCCCTCGACAGTCACTTCATTTCGAATTCGACACTGATATTACACCATCGACTGATACAGATGAAGCAATAGGATATCAGCACAAATTATAAATACTTTAATGAATTATTATGTAGAGTATGATGTTGAAAAATATCTTGATCAAGTAGCATTAATAAAAAGAACAACAAACAACAACAACAACAGACCGATCTGTTATTAACCAATAAGTTAAATCAATGTTAAGCAGAACCAGAATGTTTATTTTAACTTAATAATAACAGATTTTAGATGCAAACCAATTAGTTTTCTGGCGATTTCCAAGATCAATATAAGATCCAGACATTCCAAGAAAAAAAAAAACTATAAAAGAGCCAAAATTCATCTATTTTAAAGGTAAACTATGCATCCGGTGTGGATTTTCCAGCGAGGCTCCCCCCAGAGGGCGAAAGTAAATGTGCACTGTCGTAAATATGCTCAGTGGTTGTTTTGAGCTTAGCAGACAGGCGAACGCAAAAAATCACCATGTCTACTGCGGTAAGTGACTATTTTGTTCCAATTTTTGAGTTTGAAAATTTAGCATGTTTTCATACATTATTTGTTATGCATGTGTCTAAATAACAAAGATTGTAGTTAGCCAAGTTCTCGCTGTAAAGCAAGATCGACTCTCGCGATGCACGAGACTTCTGAGCCTGTGGGTGCGGGCTGAGGGCTCCTGCAATTGCAAGTACGGTAGTTCCCCTACAGACCACCAGGGCGGCCGAGAAAACCTTTGTTTGACCTGAAATGACTCATTTAATCATCCAAAACGTTATGGAACACATTAATTAACTGAAAAATGTTGCATAGTATGCCTTTAACTTTACCCATAACTAACCTACACTGGATACATTTTTTTATACAGTGCATTAAAAAATCTAAATATAACCAAGAGTCAATCAGTATTTAAAGTACAAAAAATACAATAAATCATAACCACAAAGTTATAAAGAAATGTGACAAGGTCTGCTCAAGTGGGAATTAAAGATGGATCGTGAACACTGTAGAAGACTTTTCTTTTTTTTTCCAGTCTTTTCTAAAATAAAGTCATGTAAAAGGATTTTATAGGAGCTTAAAACTGATAATGGAGTTTCAGCAATTTCTCTTTACTTGAGACTGGACTGTACATTTGATTTTCTGTTCCCAAACAGCTGAAACCCTAAAAATCAAGCTTAATGTTTAATGATAATCATCTAAAGCAATGACAGGATTCAAAAAGCTGCAGATCAGAAGCATTTTAGCTGCTTATGAGCATTAAAGTACAAACAAATAAGCAGGGAAGCAACATTAGAGCTAGGAGGACATTTTTAGACAATATACAGACCAGAAGGATCATAACAGACCAATATAAGTCAGTCTCTGAGAGTAAAGGGCACAGGATGGAAATTAGCCTCTCCCTCTGGAGTCCATAATTACATCCCAGCTATCGCCAAATTGTTCTCCATTGTTTGCTAAACGGGAGGTGAGAACCTTCCAGGTGACCAAGCGGGTCGACATGGTAGAAATGTGGCAACCTGTCAAACGTGTCCGTTTTGGTAACCTTGATCGGGGGATTTTCATACAACGGGGAAATAATTTAAATCTCCTTACTTCTCTAAAAACACCTTTAACCTCTTACCCCCTAAGGGGGTATAAATAAATTTCTGCCTGACAAAAACACACAAAAGTAAATCACTTATAGCCTCAAAGCTATTAGATTTAAGAAGAAACTTTTGGTACGTCTGTAAAGGTAAGATGTCATAGAATGGTTTTCTGGTGTCAGCACCATTGTAGCTTTGACCCTGCCTGAAATATTAGGGACAAAATACAAAATATTTTGCATTTTTTGAACCTCGCCAAAATTTTCTTTGAAATAAACATTGCAAAACACTAACAAAATATTATTTATAGCACAAAAAAGTAGTACAGACTTTCAAATCTAAATGTTGTGTAAAAATATACCAAATTTGGACTCAATCAGATGAATCATATTTATTTTAGAATGGTATTAGTGAGAAATTTCTTAGGCGGAGAGGCCATTTTGGCACATTTATCCATAAATGTCACCAAACTGTGCCAAATGTGTTTTTTACATCAATACTGGGGGTTTGGTAAAATTACGAGGTCACGTAGCAGCTGGACCCACCGGTGGGTCCGTAGGGTTCAAGGGGTTAAGCAATTTTTACAGTCTTTTCATTTCCTCGTCTCTGCAGCTCTAAAAAGCTCGAGGTGATGAAGGATCCTCCGGACGTTCCGGCTTTGTTTTCTTCCACACCACAGAAAGTTGTAAATGAACCACAACATCTCACTAACACCCACACCCAGGCAGAACACACCCAACAGGGCAACTTGCAGAGAATACCTGAAGCTTCCATTTGCTTTGCATAAAGGTTCAGGCTCACAGCTTCCTTGTTGCTTTTTATACCATGAAACAGAAACCTGTTAGTGTAGTTTGACATTCAAATGATCCGCCTGTCTTCAGGGCTTCTCCTGTCTGTTGGGCGGCCTTATTTCAGCTCCTCAGTCATCAGGACACTTTTTTTTTTAAGACATCTACATAATTAAACACGACGCATCCAAATAAAACGTTTCCTTCCTTCAACCTCTGCTTTGCAGTTAATTTAAACAAAAGAAATCCACTAAGAAGATAAAAAAACATGTAAAAGATGTAGTGTGGTCTTCATATAAGAACCAATAAATAGACTGTGATGCCGTCGCTGCCGGTACAACAGGCGTGCAAACCCTGCTGCAGCGAAGGCTTCATATTTCTTTAATTGTGATTAATTCCAGATCTGGGTTCAGCTGTAAAATAAAATAAACCGCTTACTGGGAGCTCTGGTAGACATCCACTGAGCTGTTGAGTCCTTCCAGTTGGCCCATCAGTAGCTGCAGGTTGGAGTTAACGTAGCTCAGCTCCAGAAGAACCATCTCCTTAACCTTGTTGTTGTTTGTAGCCCTGCAGAGAGAAATAAAGGATTTAATGCAGGCAGAAAAAAATCTCTTTAAAATAGGTCTGGTGTAAAAAGGAAATTTGTCTTTGTCTCCCTCTACTATCCACTTAGTGGGGCAGAATGTTTCTGCAGCTGAATGTTGAATCAAATGTCTCTCTTCCAGTAATCTGGACCACAGACCGGAGTCACTGTGGTTCTGCTGCGCTCCACCAACCCACACACTTTTGAATGAAGATGGAGGATTAAACTATTCATCAACCGCAGCAGTAAAAATACAGGTTTCCCTAAATCTATGAAGGTTAAATAAAGTAGAAAGGGGAGTAATAACACAGATCAGACTCTGCTGTTAAATCCAGGATTCAATGGTTGGTATATTTTCCATCCCAACCAAGTTTAAGAGATGCCCTCTGACCTGACCTGAGAACAGGCTGGGATCAGATCATAAAACAGGCCCGAGCAGGACGGCCCTGCAGAGGGGGACCTGAGAAACTCTGGAGCCAAAACGCTTTCTCCAGAATCTAACATTACCTGGGGATCGAGTACAAAAACACACACAAATCCATCGGGTACCGCTTCAATTTTTCTAAAACAGGTTGCCCTATCAAGCTGCAGCGTTATGGTTTAAGGCGGGACATAAAGCTGAGACGAAGCAGTCAGCTACGTACGCACAGCTGCTGAGGTCGGATCCGTTTGTCAGAATCCATGATTTTATTTTTTTTTATTATTTTTAAAAAGTAAAAAAAAAAAAAAAGGATCCATGATTTTATTTTTTTCAATTATTTTTAAAAAGTAAATAAATAAAAAAATCCATGATTTTATTTTTTTATTATTAAAAAAAGAAGAAAAAAAAAGAATCCATGATTTAATTTTTTTAATTATTTTTAAAAAGTTAATAAAAAAAAAAAGAATCCATGATTTAATTTTTTTACTATTTTAAAAAGTAAAAAAAATAAAAAAAAGTTTCCATGATTTTATTTTTATTATTTTTAAAAAGTAAATAAAAAAAATAAAAAAATCCATGATTTTTATTATTATTATTCTTTTTTAAAAGTAAAAAAAAAAAAAAAAGAATCCATGATTTTTTATTATTATTATTATTTTTAAAAAGTAAATAAAAAAAAATACATAAAAAAAAGAATCCATGATTTTATTTTGGGAAAATAGGAAGAGCTGCTTAAAACTAATTCCTTTATTACAGTGATTGGTTAACACCAATGAGGACTCTGCCTGACTGAGGACACCCTCTGCCTGAAAGAGCTTTATGGCTAAAGTTACTAAAACTATTAACCGATGTTTAATTTGCACTTTCTAATATTCTTATGGTGACCCGGGTATTAGCACCGCTGCCTTTGTAAGGTCAGCTGGCCCGTTTATGTTGCCGTTGGGTCAGAGCGTCTGCACGCCGTTTGTCTCCGTTTCCTCGTGATGAAGCAGGTGCCTCTCACCCATTGACCACAGGAGAAAAGGACAAGCTTCCCTACAACCTCCCAAAGGATCCGGCTGGGACGGAAAATGAATCAAAGTCTCAAATTTAGTGCTCATGGTGATAAGTTGTGCGTCTTTGTGAACGTGCAGAGGGTCCCTGCATGGCAGAGATAAGGTCATCTTAACTGCTTACTGCTGTCTTTTTATTCTCCACACTCAACCAGCATGCGTCTCTATCCTTGGTCATAAAGAATGTGTGTTACACTGACAGTCTGTACAAACAAAACCAGTGTCTGTGGCAAACACGATAACAGAAACATCCCATCCATCCCTATCGTATCTATGACCTCAACAAAGAGCCTGTTTAAGATCACACCTAAGAACACACCTTAAACCTGCCCGTCCGCAGCCAGCCTGCTGACGCTGTCCCGTCTGTAATCACAGCGCGTTCTTTTCAACACAAAAGGTGACGAGTGATACGTGGTAATGGAGAACTTTAACGGAAATTAAAACCCATCAACTTTTGCTCTAACACCTGAAAAATAAAGCAGATGCTGAACTATAATGAGCTACTAAGCCTTCAGAGTGGATTCTGTTAATGAGAGAAAAAGACAGAATTATCATTAAAAATAATGAGAGATTTAACCCTTTAAAGCCCGATCCAAGAATAAAACAAAACAGAAAATTCCTTTCCTTATTTGGCCTTTTAACAAAATATGTAAAATGAAAAAAACAGAAATACATTTTTGATATTAATAATTTATTACTATGCGATAAGTCAAAATTATTTTTCATGTAGTTTTCTACTGGCTGTTATCAGGTATATCTGATTGTGTACAATAGGATTTTGAGCAAAGTTTTTACCATTAAATTATGCAAAAGGTGTCAGACGCAAAACATTTCAGAAACCGTATGTATCAAATATGTACGGAAGAGGATTAGGGCCACTGAAGGAAAAAAAAAAAAAAAAGTTAACTGATTTTTACATTTTATTTCAGTTTAACATGGGAAAAAGCCAGAATTCAGACTTTAATCTCAGAATCCAGACTTTAATCTCAGAATTCAGACTTTAATCTCAGAATTCAGACTTTTTTCTCAGAATTCTGACTTTTTTTATTGTCAGAATTCAGTCAGAATTCTGAGATTAAAGTCAGAATTCTGACTTTTTTCTCAGAATTCTGACTTTTATCTCAGAATTCTGACTTTTTTCTCAGAATTCTGACTTTTTTCTCAGAATTCTGACTTTTTTCTCAGAATTCTGACTTTAATCTCAGAATTCTGACTTCTTTCTCAGGATTCTGACTTTTTTATTGTCAGAATTCAGTCAGAATTCTGAGATTAAAGTCAGAATTCTGACTTTTTCCCCATGCTATACTGAAATAAAATGACAAAAATCAGTTAACTTTTTTTTTTCTCAGTGGCCCTAATCCTCTTCCGTAAATATGATACATTTGGCATTACAGGGTTAAAAGTGAAGGCAGAGGAAGAACAAAGACTAAAGTCTGTGGCTCATTTAGACCAGTGAATATCAGCTATACTATAGTTTGGCCTTTTTAAAGTATAATTGAAGCTTTTTCTATGACAATTCATTCCCTTCTGCTGTTAAAATCATTTTACCAGCAGAGAACTACCGGACAAGTAGGACGACTCTTTTAAATAAGATTTAAAGAAGGCAAAAGCTTTAAAAAAAAAAAAAAAAGGAGGCTGGAAACTGATCCTAACAATCTAATTAATGATTAGATTGCTCCCTGTATTGAAAAGGGGTCATACTTTAACTTTAATATATTTTTAGACAAAGCAAAACCTTTACAGCAATGCTCTTTATTTTCAGCTTTTTTTTTAAAAGGTCTTGGTATCTGGATCTGAGCTGGAGAGGATATGCTGTGGTCTGGAAACATGTGACGCAAACTCCACCATAAGCTGTTAATAAATCCAGTTTCAATATCCAGTATCAGACTGTAATGCATGGGAACCAGACAGGAAGCCAGCTAGTGTGGCTTTGCAGAAGATTTTCCCATCCTCCTCTGTGGAAAAGCTGTTTCATGCTTTTGGCACCTTGACATTATTGTTGCTGGAGAAAGATGCCAAGTAGCGACACAGGAGAAAACCCCTTTACTCTTTTCCTGTAAGCCATCTTTAAAAGGTGGAGCTGTTGTTTATACAAGTAAAGAAGAGAAGAGAAGAGAAACTGGTCTGACCAGACAGACTTCACCTGTTGCTGATAGCGAGAGGAATGCAGAACAATAGAGAATGGAAAAAAGAAGAAGGTGTAAAGCTTGATATAAGCCAATGGCAAACTTAAAGACACAGTCACCTGTTCAGGCATTTAAAGTATCTTGCTATGGTTACTAAAGAGAAAATGACAAGCTAGATTCACTGGAAAAACGATCTAGAAATAAGTAGAAATTTCTTAAATCTAGTGTATTTACCCTTAATTTAAGTAGGTAAATGAGGTAGTTTGCCAATGGAATGAGTATTTTTATTCTTAAAATAAGATAATTAGATAACGTGCACTTGAAACAAGACAATGCAATCGTGTTTTCTTATTTCGAATTTAAATTGTCTTGTTCCATTGGCAAAATGTCTCTTTTACCTCCTCAATAAAAGAACAAATGCACTTATTTTAAGAAAAATTTACTAATCTAGATTTCGATTTTTCTAGTGTTTATATCACTGCTTTCATAAAAAAAATAAAAAAATAAAAACAGAGTAAACAATTCGAAGCTAAGAGTCCTTCATACAGAAGAGGTCACACTGCAATCAAAATATATCGTTTAAAGCCACAGGAACCCTGCTATTGGGTTCAGGAGTGTTCGCAGATGGACAGGCACTCCGGCCATGTGCCTCCGGACTTTAGAAGTTATGTGAAGTACCGGAGGAATGTAGAGGCCTGTGTGCAGGGCCCACACAGGTAAACACTGAGAAACACTGAGTATTGCACCTTATAGCGACAGTAACATCTGGTTCTACATCAGCCCCGCCTCCGGCTGAATTAGGTCCGTTTTTATTTACCTTGTTAAGATTTGAGTAAGAGATGCAATGAGATTTCAGCTGCTGAAGAGAACATAACCATTTTGTTTTCTTAACTTTAACCAGAGACGATGTTTAGCAGCGAAGTCAGAGAAGCTCAAAAAATTAAAAGCACTTTTAAAGGAAACTACTTTTAACAAAGGAACATAAGCCGTTCATTCAGGCTGTTTTAACGGAGCTTAAATCTGGCTTGCCTTACCTTCCAGATTTCATAGTTTTGCAATGTTAGTCCATTGCTAACTGCACTGCTTATGCAACAGAAGATGCAAAACGTTTCCTATAATTGCATTTTTTTGCAAACCATTAAAACTGTTTTATAGTGAGAGAGGTCCTTATATACACCAACCATTAGTAACCGCTCAGGACAGAAAGGTTCAAAAGAAGCCTTTTAAATGCTTTCAATCATAGTTCTTACAGAGAGGTTAGTATTCGTCTATTTCTTGTCTCAGAGGCAGAGAATTCACTTCGGTGTGAACGCACTATTGCACCCAGCAAGGCAAGAGATGCACCAAACATGCTTGACCAACAGCTGAATGTTGCAGAATTGCTACACTTGACATCGTGGTTATAACAGTAACTATGTCTGCAAAAACCAACTGAGAAAAACCAACAGAGAAGCCGCCACAAACACCACAGACTAAGAGCTGTAGAAAGCTTTACAATCAAATTAGCCAGGCAGATTTTTATACCTTATTTTCATTGTTTATTTTAGAGACTGACATCTTTTCGGGAATCCCACGGGTCACGGGATTCCCGTGGGATTCCCGCGGGATGGGAGTCAGTATTAGTAACGATCACGTGATTGGGACGGTACAGGATTAAACACTAACGGGAGCAGACAAGAGCGGGAGCAAACCAATAGTAACTAAAAAAAAAACTAGGATCGATGCCAAAAAATAAAATAAAAGAAAACAAATCCAGTACTGGCGCCGCCATTTTGTAGTTTTTTTCCATGAAGCCTACACTATAATGCAAGTCAAAAAAACTACACGACCCAAAAACCAACAGTGCTTCCGCTCTGAGTTTTTCACCCGCGCTCAAAAGAAATTCAGATTCAATGTATTGGCAGAAATCTTATTGAAGACAACAAGAATGGGAGTGGAGCAGGAGCGGGAGTCATTCTGAATGGGAGTGGGAGTAATTTCACCAGGAGTGGGACGGGACAGGATTTAGATTTCTATCCGGGATCGGGACGGGACAGGAGTGAAAATCCACTCCTGTGTCAGTCTCTAGTTTATTTGTATATGTCTTTTGAACAATAATTATGGAAAAAAAAGGAATAAAACGTTACTTTAGAGCAGGGTTTTACCTTTAAAGATGCTTGGTTCTGATTGGCTCATTTAAAAATGTTTCTGCAGGGTTTTCCCATCTTAACTTGGAAGATGAGATGAGAATGAATCACTTGCAAAGAGCCTTTTATTATTTATATCATCATATCATGGAAAATATATCGAAGCCTGAAACAATTAAATCGGATTTATCCATTATTGAAATAATTGTCAGCTAATTTAGTAATCGATTAATCGTTAACTGCACTCTAGAGACTCTAAAACATTATTTTAGCTGACAGCGCGAACTACTTAGAGCAGTAATTATAACATAATTGTAAAAAAAAAACAATATGCAAACATTTTGCATTTAAGATAAAAAAAATCATCTTTTTAATAAAAGGTCTTCTTTGATTTTCCAATTATTAATCGATTCATCAAACAATTTGCAAAATAATCGTTAGTTGCAGCCCTGATTATATAAAAAATGATGTTTTTTGTTAGTTTCTTCTGTTTCAGTTAATAAATAGACCTTAATTATCATGACTGAGTAAAAATTTGCATAAAAAAAAAAATAAAGCTATATTATTCCATCTGAATACAAAAACATTTGTTTGTCTTGCGATAAATAATTGAATTTACTTTGCCTTAGGGTTTTTACGGAAGAGGATTAGGGCCACTGAAAAAAAAAAAAAGTTACCTGATTTTTAAATTTTATTTCAGTTTAACATGGAAAAAAAGTCAGAATTCTGACTTTGATCTCAGAATTCTGACTTTAATCTCAAATTTCTGACTTTAATCTCAAATTTCTGACTGAATTCTGACAATAAAAAAAGTCAGAATTCTGAGATTAAAGTTAACTTTTTTTTTTTTTTTTTTTTCCCGCTGGCCCTTATCCTCTTCCGTGAGTTTTAGATGATAAATCTCCAAAAAAGATAGCTCATATGTTTGTATTTTTGAGGATAGTGTTAAAAAGATTATCAAATGAAGGTTAAACAAAAAAATTAAATGTTAAATAAAAGAAAAGTTTAACCTTCTAATCAAGACATAATAAATCTCATGTTCAAAATTAAACAGTGTCTTTAAGATCACTATTTAATTAAACTAACTGGAATTATTAGATCTTCCCTCAGTTTTAGCAAAGGAAATCTGCATCTATACTAAAGGAAAACTTCAGTAATGCTAAATTTAAATAAAGAGACCCTCCAATCTAAATCTATGCAGGTCTCAGCAGCAGGTCGGGCAGATAAAGGACAACGCAGGTGAAATTTAAAGAGAGCAAACTAAACCGGAGCTGATGTGTGAAGGATTGTGATCAGAGGGACAGGTTCTGGAGCAAAAATGTTCTTTTTTTTCTCGTCACAGTGCGTCTTTGTTTCCAGGCTAACTGGAATGCTCCTGTTAGAGAGCTTTATCATCAAATCCCTGCAACCACAGAGTGGAAGAGGTGCAGCCTGGCCAGTCAAACGGAAAACTAGTTAGAGTTTACTTCAGTTCACTTGTGCCAAAGTGATATAATCATTTTCAATTTTTCGTTGTGCAACACATGCAAATAAATGTTTTGCATGTGCTAACCTCATGATATTGGACTATTTTTGTCCCAACTTAAAAGCAGTATAGCGTTATCCTCGCTGTAGGAGGAACCAATAAATCAAATAAAGTCATAAATCTTTTTCATGAAGCTATTGTGCGAGTCTGAGTTGAACGTACTTCAGCAGATTCTCAGCTCCGGCTCTCATCCTCATCTGTTTGATTATCTGCTGGTTCAGACCGGCTCGCGTGTTCTGCAGTTTGCTGCGTCCGGTCTGTGCAAGGGGGTTGCAGCCCTGCAGAAAAAGATCAAAGAAAAAAAAGGATGTCAGCAGAATATTGGCAAGTGGAAAGTCTGTAAAGAGGCCAAGAAACGATCACAATTTACTTCCCTATAGTTGTTCTTATCTACTTGGCTACATCAGCTTAAAGCATCTGTTTCCTTGTAACATTATGTGTCATTTAGGGGAAACGTGGAGACAAACCAGTTGATCTAATGGGCCGAAAACATATTTCATAACACCTCAGATTACAGCCAAATCAAATACTGCATGCAAACAAATCTTAAATGTCTGAACTGCGATATTTGCAGCTTAGTTGTGCATCAGTGTGCAGGTTCTCTGTAGTACATCAGTGCTTTTCTGTATTGAAAGTTTTATGATTTCATTTCTTCAACAGGATTTTCAGAAATGTGACTATTTTCCTATTTGGTCGGTGGACTAAAATACAGGTAAAAAAAATGAAGGACATGGTTTACTTCCATTTAAATAAGACTTTCTCTTTATTAACTGCTAAGATGGGAAAAATAAATGGAAGTTTTTAATGCGTAGATCAGTAGCATCTCCCTGTATTCCACTAAAACGCACGTTTTAAATTTTCCAAACTCACACTGATGATATAGACAATCAGAACAAATGGAAAGGAGCTGTTTTAGTTCTGCATAAGACATGGGCTCGTTACCAGTATGAAATTACATTCAGTCTTAGAAGGTTATTGGTTTAAAACCATTACATTTTCTATTGGTTTAAAGCCCTTTCAATGAGAGACTTCTCATGGTTTATGGAGCTGATGGTAATAAATTCCTGCCCCTTTCTCTGCAGTGTTGGTCAGTTGGCTGAAAGCTGTGATTTCTTTCCTCTATTTGCAGAAAGTACAAAAATCAGCTGATTGACAAACAACAGTTTGTCAGGGGGATTAAAAGTCCAGGAGAAAAAACAAAAACAAAGACAAGGATAGTTCCCTCACTGCTACTCAGAACAGTGATGGAATTATTACATGATTTATCACTAGGGCTACAACTAACGATTATTTTGCAAATAGCTGATTGGCCTATGTTGGTCATAGACGGGCCAAATAAACCAATCAGATCAACGAAGCATATGATGTACTAACAGAGCGACGACGAAAACACAACCACAAGCCAGGCTACTCTTGCCGAAACCAGTCGGGAGAAGAGCGAAAACATCTTTTCCTCTGAGAAAAGCCACCAGAGCAGTGTTTTGCTCTTCTTTCAGTGAAGAAATACTCTGTAATTCCGATAAAACTTGCTCGATAGCCACGCTAACGCTAGTTTCATCGGCTGATGCCGCCATGTTCTTTAGACTGAACTGTCGCGCTTCTCGTTGCGTCACACCTCAACCCGCCTCAAAGCCAACGCTGATTGGACGTTCGTTTGGTGAACGGCTCCAGATTTTCTTTAACGGAGAGTCTCCAGACTGATCTGCGAGTGAAACCTTGAAAGCTCGCGAGATCAGGATGGTCTCACGAGGCTAATAATAAGGCTCCTTAAAGAAGAATTTTCATGAAATGTAACCAGGTAAAACTAAACCGTTTCCAACTGAGAAGCTCTGGATAGCGAATATTGACGGACGAAAATTTTTTTTTTTTTTTTTTATCTTAAATGCAAAATGTTTATATATATTTTTTAACAATTTTGATATAAATGCTCCTTTCAGTGGGTTGCTCTGTATGTTATAGAGTCTCTATGCTGCATTACTAAATTAGCTGACAATTATTTCAATAATAATTTTATTTCTTAAGCCCTAGTTATTAGTTCTGCATGTAAGATTGTTGGCCTATGTCAATGTATAATAAATGTTAACGATATATTGATGAGCAGTAGGACTGACGGTTGCTTTTTTATTTGAAGTAAACAATTAGATCATTAACATTTCTATTAATAATCTTTTTTATGAAGATCACAAATATTGGGAAACAGTGATTATCCAATGTTATCATACTATCCGGAATACTGGGTTCAGTACATGACACAGGTATCGCTCCATTATGATTTGCATGATTAAAAAAGAAAAAGGCCTTGGAGAGAAACCAGTCAAACCAGTTATAAGAGCAGCCTTTAAGATTGTAAATTGGTTCATTCATGAAGTAGATCAGGGTTCAAATAAAATAAAAAATAACACAGAAGGAAGCCAAAACCAGATAAATCCCCCATATTTGATTTTAAAGGTTTGTTTATTGGTTTTCATCCCATCATAGATCCTTTTTTTTTTTTTATAGGTACAGTTTCGTTTTGAACAATCAGCTGCCATGTTTGACTAACAGCAGGATATGATGTCACCCTGCTGCCAACGATACTCCTTTCATTGCTCGTGTATTTCTGGATGACAGTTTTGCTTCTGGCTTTCCTGTCAAAACTTTTACATTCACATCTGAGTCATGTTACACTGACAGGGCCGGTTTGAGGGTTTCCTATAGAGTGACTGAGCAGAAAAGCGCGGAGGACGATGAACGTTTGAACGCTTCCTCCCAAAGTCATGTTTAACCAAACACTACAGCTGGAGCGTACTGTGGCTATTGAGGTCAGTGGATTGGGTCTGAGTAAACACTGCAGTGACCTGAAGGTTTAATGAGTAACCATCAGGCAAATATGCAGCCTGTTTATCACACAACAGAGGCGTACCGAGGATGTCAGGTGCCGAGCTATTCTGGGAACAACAGGATGAAGACGACTTGCCGGGGTGTGGTCTGTTCGTCACACATTGTCCTTCAGTCGCTGTAATTTAGGCGGGACGTGTCATAGAACGGGGAGTGGGGACTGGGCGGGTGGTTGCATGACAGTTTCTATCTTTTATACATTAAACTAAATATTTGTCAGATCTCAAGCTGCATGATAACCAGACCATTAGACATTAGAGTCTCAGAGTTCGATAACCTTGATTGAAAGTAGCAATAAAGTGCAAGCGCTGTAAAAACATTCAGTTTTATAACACTGTTTGATTCTGTTGCATTAAATATTAACTGGAAAATAAAACACTTTAGTTTCTATTGCTTGTTTCTTAATTTTTATAGGTTACTGATCTTAGCTGGTCAGTTGTTTGGGTATCTGTACAGGTAGCCTGCATACAGCTAGACTTTTAAGGGTTGTTTTCAGTATTTGCAGTTTTTCAGATATAAATACTCATCCTGCTCTCTTGGCTATAGCGCAATCTTTCATGTCATCACCTCATTTGGTGAAAGTTAACAGGATTTTAAAACTCTAGCTCTTGTGACGCTTGTAATTCCAGCCTGTAGTTTGGCCAAAAAGTGCAGATTCAGCCTTTCAGAGCAACAGCCATGAGAAGTTGCCTGTCTGAGGCAAAAAGGTGGAAACCTTGTGATGATAGCCTCTCAGGAATCCATCACCAGACGTTTAATTATAAACAAGCAGGTGCAAAAACAAGATCTATGCAGAGCAAGAGGAAGAAGCTGTGTGACGAGGGATCAGATTTTTTTTTGTGTGTGATCGGTTAATTTAATTTTCGTTTCTGGGATGAGAGAGTTTTCTGACTCTGACAGATATCCATATTAATCTGGTCGATGTGGGTTTTCTCTTCCGCTTGTTCAGACTTACTTATCAAAATTAATAAAAATAGCTTATGGCTGATTTTTTTTTTTTACCTTTTCAGTCAAAATAAAGAAAAATCTCTGCTCCTAACAGACGAGGTAACAACATTTAGTTAAGCGCGAGGAATGGTACGTCTTTTGCTTAAACACCATGACTCTTTGCATTTGACCGGTGCAGCCCCTCTACCTCTGTGTTAAATGCTTAATTAGAGCGAGAACACAAAGGCCGTCCAGTCCAGCATCACTTTCATAGCAGAAAATTCACTTGCTGCTCATAAAGAGTGCATGAAGCGATGTCGGGAGAGTTGGCTGGTTTGCACCAGGAGTGATTAACAGATGCAATCCAGCAGGAGGGGGCTTGGGGTATGACCCAGTCTGGAGCCAGAACAATCTGTGTTTTCTGCCTTACGGATTAAGTGTGCTCAGTATTTCTACTCTATTAGTTTAAAGCAGATGACAGCAGCACGTTTCAATTGGAAATTAAAAAGTACATCTCTTAATTTATAGTGAATACTTAAAGGAATAGTACACCCAAAACATGATTAGCCTTCATTTTCTACTCACCCCCATGCTGAACAACACTCTGGAGTACTTTTTTGATATCTCAAATGCATCTGGAGATCTGGGAGGCTTCTTGCTGTCTGCTGACATTCAAATAATGGAGGTCTATGGCGCCCGAGGCAGAAAGGTCCATAAAAGTCCACAAAAAACGTGTCAATATTCCTCCATACTGCTCGTCCAATGTATTCCAAGTGTCCTGAGTGGGTAGCGTCCAGAATTTACTCGAAACGAAGTCATTTAGAATGTTTTTAGAGCATAAACAGTAGTGTATAGGATTTCCTGAAAGCTCGTTCACGACGCTACGGAAACCGCGGCAGACCAAACCGGATGAAAGTGCGCATTCAGCTCGGCAAAGAACTCATGCTCTTCCTCAACACTGAAGTCCTCAGACATTTTTCTTTCGTTGTTTCTTTCTTTGCACAGGTAAACAGCACATTTCTTCTTCTACGCTTGCATTATCGGCAGAGCAGACGCTGAATGCGCACTTTCATCTGGTTTGGTCTGCCGGCTTCCGTAGCGTCGTGAACTCGCGGGCGTGCGCTTTCAGGAAATCCTATACACTACTGTTTATGCTCTAAAAACATTCTAAATGACTTTGTTTCGGGTAAATTATGGACGCTACCCACTCAGGACACTTGGAATACATTGGACGAGCAGTATGGAGGAATATTGACACGTTTTTTGTGGACTTTTACGGACCTTTCTGTCTCGGGCGCCGTAGACCTCCATTATTTGAATGTCAGCAGACAGCAAGAAGCCTCCCAGATCTCCAGATGCATTTGAGATATCAAAAAAGTACTCCAGAGTGTTGTTCAGCATGGGGGTGAGTAGAAAATGAAGGCTAATCATGTTTTGGGTGTACTATTCCTTTAACAAGTTTATATTTAATTAGACTTGGAGGGAGTCGATGTTTGTTCCTCAAAGGGGAGTTTTCTAAGTTGGAGAAGCGTTGCACATGTTGTCAATTTATGTCTGTGGTCTGGCTGTAGGAAAGCCCCCGGCCAGATGCTACGTCAACGCTCTCCCTGGCCAAGGAGGACGAGATGAGGAGCAGAAACATGCCGACTCAGGGGTTTGGTGCTGCCATCTTTCCATCCTGCACACATCCAGCTGGAAACCCAGCTAAGGAGGACACCCCCACCAAACCACCACGGTTCCCTGGAGCGTCTGTCAGACCTGAGCAAGTCTTGTTAATCATTCATCTTATTAACATCGTGTGGAAAAAGGACAAGAGAAGAAAAACTTGAGAGAGATTTCTTAACAGCAAATCTCTCTAACTAGGAAAATATGTAAATGTAGTTGCGGTTTACATGGAAGTACCCGCTCCTTACTCCTCAGAAGGGCCATAAAAAGTAACATTTGAAGCCCAGAAGGAGGAAGGAAAAGTGAAGTTAAGTGAGAATCATGATGGCAGCAGGGTTTAAGCTCCACATTTCTAATGTTCAGTCATGTCCTGTGGCTGTACCAGCCCCCGACTCCCACTGACCTTTTAATAGACACAGGAAGTCTCAAACCAGACAGCGCTAAGAGGGGGATTTAACACACAAAGGCTGGGTTCAGATGCTCATCTAAACACGCTTGCCCTATAAAAACACTCCAAAACGTGCAGAGCAATGGAGCTGGCTAAACTCTGTAATAACTCAGCCTGTCAAACTGTGTCCCCTGTAACCACAGACTACACACAAAGCCAGAACGCTACTGTAGCCGCTACTACAGCTGGACCATTTAACAGCATCACCTTCAGGCGGCGGAGGATCAAACTGTCATCTTCTGTTATAGCTCCAGGAAACCTGGTAAATAATGCCATTAAGCAGAGCATCTTCAGTCAAAGGTAACAGAAGGAAAATCCTTCAATCCGAAACAGAAATTGTGGTAAAATGAAAGAAAAGGAATTGATTATACTAAAATGATGTGGAAAGGTGTTTAAAAGGGATGCTGGAAAAAGTCCCACTGGACAGAAAACAGGCAGCTGATAATGACTGGTCATCCAGTTCCCCTAGATAAAGCTTTTCCTAGAAAAGCACCCACCCACCTGAAGCTGACAGCTCTCTGCTTTCTGTTAGTGACGTCTCAGCAGCTGAAAAGACTAGAACCAGTAGTTCCCAGTTCACATTCCCCTCTTTCATTATCATTATCTCAGCCCAAACACAGTTCACACTGCTGGGGTATCTAAATACCACATCCAGTGGGATATATCAATATATACTAATAGATAACCAGCTGGTTAAATAAGTAAAGGTTCGAGTTGAAACATATTTTCATATAAATGCTTGTGATTTATATCAGGTTCACGTTTGACCAGTTTGAGTTGAAGTGCGACTCACAACAACTGAGGCTCTGCTATGGAAAACAAGGCAGCAGGGTAACAATAACAACGCCCTATTTAGGACATTTCACAGGAAAAACATCTGTTTTATGTCCTTCTTTAGAAATCTTACTATTTAATCATTTCTGTTCGCATTTTCTGCTTTTCTAAAGACACTTTAGAAACTGACATCTGTCCCGATCATCTTCACAAACCTCTTCCACGTGTTTTACCTCCTCAAAGTTAGAACTCTCTGAGGGAAAGTTTACAAAATATAAAGAAATATTATTTAAATAGGAGATTAAATAAATAAATACAAAAACTGGGCGGGAAATGATAAAAAAACCAGGAGAATCATTGGGTTAAATGTCTAATGTGACGTCAGCAGACTCTTATTTTTAAGTAATGGTTTTTTTTTTTTTATTGAATTAACAGCTATCTAAATAAAATTAAAAATTAAAAAAAATGATTAAGGTGTGCGATTCACAGATTGGGCTAAATGGTGACTTTAAATCCTATAAAGACAGTTTAATTTTGAAGCCTAATATTCTTAATATACTGGAAAACACCTAATTTAGCAACCTGTATAGATGCGTTAATGAGGTTAAACTCCAGCTACCGTAAATCCACTAATAAAGAAAGAAAGAGGAGAAACTAAACTCACCCTTTTGAAATATTTCGCATCTCCTCCGCTGTCTTCAATGCCGTTCGGTAAAAGTGTGTCCGTCATTCTAAAGGCGAAGTGTAAAAATTAAACCACTAAAAAAGGAAAAAGCTCAAATAAACTGGGAATAAAAGTGAGGCGAAGAGGAAAGCTGTAGAACAGGTGATCTCCTAGCTGCTCCTGCGGTGCTCCTGTTGCTCTGTCCTCCTCTCCTCCCAGCAGCGCAGTTTTCCAGAAGGAGTAGCAGGCTCCGCCCACAGCCGCACAGTGGAGGACAGTCACCGGAAGTTACCTGCTCCCCTCAGGTGAGGATCGCACGCGACATGACGGTGATGCCTTCAGGTTGACTTTACACCCGGTGCGTTTTGTGAAACATTTAGATGATTTTTCGCTATAGTACACAAATTATAATAAAATAAGTAAATAAAATAATGGTATAGATTAATTTATCAAACCTCAATTACACCAAAATAATTGCTAATAATAGCAATAGCTGTATATATATATATGTATATATATGTATATATATATATATTATATATATACACTATATTGCCAAAAGTATTTGCTCACCCATCCAAATTATTGGAATCAGGTGTTCCAATCACTTCCATGGCCACAGGTGTATAAATTCAAGCACCTAGGCATGCAGACTGTTTTTACAAACATTTGTGAAAGAATGGGTCGCTCTCAGGAGCTCAGTGAATTCCAGCGTGGAACTGTGATAGGATGCCACCTGTGCAACAAATCCAGTCGTGAAATTTCCTCGCTCCTAAATATTCCACAGTCAACTGTCAGCTGTATTATAAGAAAATGGAAGTGTTTGGGAACGACAGCAACTCAGCCACGAAGTGGTAGGCCACGTAAACTGACGGAGCGGGGTCAGCGGATGCTGACGCGCATAGTGCGAAGAGGTCGCCAAATTTCTGCAGAGTCAATCACTACAGACCTCCAAACTTCATGTGGCCTTCAGATTAGCTCAAGAACAGTGCGCAGAGAGCTTCATGGAATGGGTTTCCATGGTCGAGCAGCTGCATCCAAGCCATACATCACCAAGTGCAATGCAAAGCGTCGGATGCGGTGGTGTAAAGCACGCCGCCACTGGACTCTAGAGCAGTGGAGACGCGTTCTCTGGAGTGACGAATCGCGCTTCTCCATCTGGCAATCTGATGGACGGGTCTGGGTTTGGCGGTTGCCAGGAGAACGGTACTTGTCTGACTGCATTGTGCCAAGTGTAAAGTTTGGTGGAGGGGGGATTATGGTGTGAGGTTGTTTTTCAGGAGCTGGGCTTGGCCCCTTAGTTCCAGTGAAAGGAACTCTGAATGCTTCAGCATACCAAGACATTTTGGACAATTCCATGCTCCCAACTTTGTGGGAACAGTTTGGAGCTGGCCCCTTCCTCTTCCAACATGACTGTGCACCAGTGCACAAAGCAAGGTCCATAAAGACATGGATGACAGAGTCTGGTGTGGATGAACTTGACTGGCCTGCACAGAGTCCTGACCTCAACCCGATAGAACACCTTTGGGATGAATTAGAGCGGAGACTGAGAGCCAGGCCTTCTCGTCCAACATCAGTGTGCAACCTCACAAATGCGCTTCTGGAAGAATGGTCAAAAATTCCCATAAACACACTCCTAAACCTTGTGGACAGCCTTCCCAGAAGAGTTGAAGCTGTTCTAGCTGCAAAGGGTGGACCGACGTCATATTGAACCCTATGGATTAGGAACGGGATGTCACTTAAGCTCATATGTGAGTCAAGGCAGGTGAGCAAATACTTTTGGCAATATAGTGTATATATATATATATATATATATATATCAAAAATAACTGACAGCTGAAGTCTTTTTTATTAATATTTATATACCGTATATATATATATATATATATATATATATATATATATATATATATATATATATACACAGTATATACATTGTGGACGCTCTGTATATACTGTATAGATCCCATGCACCTTTTCTTTCTTTGGCACCTTCTTCTTTTTGTCTATTTGAGCTGATGGCTAACTGATTGTAACAAGTACATTTATCCACTGTGAGATCAATAAAAGCCAATTAATCAATTAATCAAAAACGTCCCCTTTTCTGAGGTAACGCTAATTTCATTTTTTCCCCAAGACATTTGTTTTGTTTTTTGCAGTTTTCCTCTGCCTCAAATGTAAATGTGACGGTTCCAGTGTACAAACTTTAGAAAATTAAGAATTGTCAGAGCATTGGCGTGCACAGACTTTTTGAAGGCCAGGGGCACAAAGAAGTAAAAGAGCAGACATAGTGCATCCTCGCTGCTGAGGAGGGAACTTTAGCAGATGTTTTAGCTTCCCGCCGGGCACTTTAACACACATTTTTTCCTCCAAGGAGACACTTTAGCATGCGACCCCCACCCCTGCATGCAACTGATGCTGTGATGACTAAAGGGCTCATTATGCTTGATGGATGCACAATCCATGTGGCAAATGAGCCACTGGTCACGTCTGCTGTATTTATATACTGTGCAGCTTTTCCACCATTCCAGCTGTCATGTTCAGCACAAACAGCAATCTGACAAGCTACACGAGTAAGTAGAAAAGAAAGCAGTTTAGAACTTTTTCAAAGCCTCTTCATGCTGTTTGAGAGCGACAGTCATTTATTTCCAAGAGTTTGTCCAAAATCTATGGGCTAAATCACTGGATCTCTACATGTTTACATTTGTGAACAATTACTAGTGGGAGCTGCTGCTCGCTTGCCATGTTTTCTGTCTGCGTTGTTACTAATTTTCATAGGTGTGTGGTTCGGAAAGTCTGTCCAAACAGATGTCACGCAGAGTGGCATCCCAAAATTATGAAATGTCACCACGCTGGCCACATCAAGCATAAACCATGCTTAAAGCATTTTGTTTACAGTTTGAAACATTAATCTGTGTGGAAACACAAATGTAGGTTGCAGTGTAGATTGATATGTTTTTAGACATTGTATTCTCTACTATGGTCTCTATGCTAAACCTAATCTAAGTCCCAGAAGTCTATTAATGTCTATTATTGTTTTTTTTATTATTATTATTATAAAAAAAAAAATTTAAAAAACAGAAGCTGTTTTTGAAAGAATTACTGATTTGATGTAGAATTAGTCTTAGACTTTCCAACTCTGTGAAAATGATTTAAGGGATACTTCTTGGCCAGGCATTATCTTTACCCTACTTTATGAAATGTTCTTGTTTAAATAGATTTTTAAACATTTAAATTGTATTGTAATAAAATTGTGACCCTGCCTATGAAAACCCAGCTAAAGTCATTTTTTGGTGAATCTCAACTTAATGTATAAAACCATTCTACACAATGTTAAGAATGGTTTTATACATTAAGTTGAGATTAACCAAAAAATGACTTTAGCTGGGTTTTCATAGGCAGGGTCACAATTAGACATGCAATTTTTTCCTTTTTGAAGGGACAGCCAATGAAAAATAACTCAGCGTGGCCTAATGATGGATTAAAGAGCTTTCCAGGGTGTAATAATCAGACAGGAACTAGCGACCTTGTAAGGATAAGTGTATGGACAATTTGAGATGCACCTACATGAAAATATGAGCCAATATTATTATTGCATTTGTGGCCGATAACTGATATTTACCGCTATCCTATATCATGTATTTCTTTACCCTTATGACACCATGAAAGACTAAAAACAGCTGAAATAGCTTCTTACTACAGTTGAACAGGGACAATCCTGAGCTGCATTTTCATCAGGGACACATTGCTCAACAAATACCACATGGCCCATCTCCTCCCCTCCCCAATCTTAAGATAAATCAGCGACTACATGGAAATAAATATCGGTTTTAATAAACTATCCCACTTTTACTTATCGCACTGATACAGAGATGCTTATAATGACCAACATTGGTAGATTTGAATGCGAATATTTGGTGCATCCTTATGGAAAATGAAAAAATAGATAAATCTGTCCAGGTTTGACCATTCTTTAAGGGCTTACATTTGTTCTGATCTAAAGATGACGTTTAAAGATGACTGTTTGGGTGTTTTTCACAGTGGGATTTTACTAAATCTTATACAGTTTTCGTAAGAATTACTGTTCAGTGCAGAAAAACATGTATGTTTAACCATTAGTCAGTCATTTTAGATGATTAAAAGCTGATTAATGGCCTCCCAGAATGCTTTTAAAGTGCCTCGTTAGATCCCAACATCAACTGCTCTGAAATGCTTTGCCCTTGCATCTGTTTTATTTTATTTCCTTTAAACAATTAATTTGATCTGGAAGTGGAAACCTGTAACCATGATCTAACCATGACTGTCCCTGTTTAAAGACATCTCAGTTCTGATGAGGTGGCAGAAACCAAAATAGCCTTGTGTCTTTTGTTTTTCTGGTTTTATCAGGTTAAAGGCATGCTCCTGTTCTGCTTGTTTGGGAGGTAGCTATTTATGTCACGGGAGGATTATTGTCAACAACAGAGTTGAAGTTAGGGCAACAGGGTGTTGCCGGGGCTGTAAAGTAGGGCAACAAAGGCCTCTGTTGAAGTAGTTTCCCATGTGGAAAAATGCTCCTTTTGAGGGCTTTAATGTTTTGAATTGAATACTTATAACATACGAAGTGAAAAAATGTGTTAAAATAAAACATGTTAGTCCCTGAGCAGGACATTTTTTTAATCATTAATGAACCTGAAGGATGGTACTTCAGTTTTCTTTTCCTATTTGTAGTTTTGATGTTACACTGCAAAAAAATGTAATCTGCATAAGTAATTTTTTCTTAAAATAAGAGCATTTTTTCTTGAATTGAGGAGGTAAGTGATGCATTTTGCCAATGGAGCGAGACAATTTACATTTAAAATAAGAAAAAACAATTCCATTGTCTTATTTCAAGTGCATATTGTCTAATTATCTTATTCTAAGAGTAAAAATACTCATTCCATTGGCAAACTATCTCATTTACCAACTCAAACAAAGGGTAAATACGCTAAATTTAAGACATTTTTACTTATTTGTAGATAATTTTTCCAGTGTAGAAGTGAAGATGTGGCCACTTGATGACTTCAAAAGTAATAATAAGAGATTTATTTCATCTTTATATTAAAAAAAAACAATCAAAGAGGAAACGAATTATATTTGTGCAACATATCTATTTCATCTAGATCTAACATTTTGAAATAGCTTTGTTTTTTTCTTTTGTACCGCTCAGGTTTAGCCTCTAGATGGCGGTAGATCTCTAGG